AGAAAAGAAAAGTATCAGGTATTGTATTCTCATAGGAACTTGAAGCCATTGCAGTTTGTTCAACAATGGTATAGCATGTCATATCATGGCAAATATAAATTTTCTGGCAAGTATTTTTAAAAGCCTTAAAATGGTAGCACAAACATATTTTGTGTTTTAAAACATCTTTGAGAATAAGATGGGGATGTAAAAAAATTTTAAATGTGAACACGAAATGATAGAGCAAAGAAACGTCTGAACATAATTGTGGGAATTGATTCGGCGCTAAATATTTTCTCACGAATTTGTAAAAGGAAAACAAATTAGTTTGGAAAACGGTTTTTGAATTTTCGATTTCCAATCATAAATAGGCGATCGGCTTGTAAAAGTCATGGGATTCCTGATTGACCAGCTAAGCTAAGATTTTTCTTAGCCAAACTTAAAGAAAAAGTACTTAGTTAATCGAATACGGGCCCTGATCGATAGCACAAGGGGCTTGGTGCTTGTATTTACTGGTGTACGTACGTTGTTGTTGTTGTTGTTGAGTTTAATGGCGTTTTCCATTTCTGACTTGTTGGATGATTTTCGTCACGGCCAGCTTGCTTTTTATTCTTAGCGGACGAATGAGACTAGCCAATCCGCTATTCAATTTTTAGGTCTGTCCTATAATCTCACATATTATTTCGTCTGTCATCCCTCTTGCTTTCCAATACACACAAACAACACAATAATACACTTCAATTATTGTGGAATAGCCTGACAACGACTACTGAGAGCCGGCCGTTTATTCAGTATGAATGTTTAACAAACATTTCTTCTCGTTTCCTTCACTGGAAACCGTTTCCTTCACTGGAAACCGGACCTATCATGGTCCAGGATAAAAAACCAGAGATAAAACTCAACGAGCATAAAAACTCTGGAAAACCTTATTCAAACACAGTCATGTAACAGTACATGACACAACGCACTTTTATTGTAAATAAAAGTTGTCTCGTTGAAAGCTCAAGCTAGAATGATTCAATTACACACTAATTCATGCCACGCCCTGGTCTCCGTGGCAGAATTAGCTCGCACACCTGTACGAGCTGCCTATACAAATTACATTCCATCGGGGCACAGCCCCGGACCCAACATAAGTATGCATTCATTAACGATACAAACAACATTTGTCTGCTATACAATCGTACCGCAGACAAATAATATTCTTACAAAGTCAAAGCAATCGTTGCTGGTTACATAAGAGCTTAAAAACGATCACAACTGCGTTCACAAATTCTGTTAGTTTTAAAATGTTAATTTCCCATATTGAAAATAGTCTTTATGTGTCTAGAAGTAACTTGTTATACAATTCAAACAAACAAACAACCACATACTTTCGAAAAACAAACCTACCAAATATGGAGCCATGAACCTACTTCGTAGTAATTCCATGCTAAGGCGATTTGAATGGCTTTGTAACAAACAACCACATACTTTCGAAAAACAAACCTACCAAATATGGAGCCATGGACCTACTTCGTAGTAACTCCATGCTAAGGCGATTTGAATGGCTTTGTATGTGCGGACCTTACTTATAGCATGGAGTTACGAGTTCCCCCCCCCCCGCGAAGCGCGGAAGCTCTGACGTTTCACTAAATTATTAGAGAAAGAAGACGATTCGTTAGACCGTTCTCGACTCTTAATCCTTGTTTGAATCAAGTTCCCCTTCCTCCGCGCGTAGCGCGGAAGCTTAGACGTTTCATTAGATAATTAAAGACAGAAGACGATTCGATGTACCATTCTCGACTCTTAATCCTTAATTTTTGAATCAAGTTCCCCTTCCCCTTATGTCGTTTCAATAGATTGTTAAAGAAAGAAGACGATCCTATGTACCATTCTCGTCTCGTAATCCTTGTCTGAATTCATTTTCGCCCATTCCTGCGCGAAGCGCGGCAGGTTTCACATTAGAGAAAGAAGACGATTTGTTATATCGTGTCCTTCATGAAATCAGTTTCTCCCCTACCGCGCGAAGCGCGGAAGCTTTGACGTTTCACTAAATTATAAGAGAAAGAAGACGATTCGTTGGACCGTTCTCGACTCTTAATCCTTGTTTGAATCAAGTTCCTCTTCCTCCGCGCGTAGCGCGGAAGCTCTGACGTTTCATCAGATTATTTAAGAAAGAAGACGATTCGATGTACCATTCTCGACTCTTAATCCTTGTCTGAATTCATTTTCGCCCATTCCTGCGCGAAGCGCGGAAGCTTTCACATTATTGAAAGAAGACGATTTGGTCTCCTAAGTGGTATCACACATATCGTGTCCTTCATGAACTCAGTTTCCCCCCTACCGCGCGAAGCGCGGGAGCTTTAACGATTCAATAAATTATTACTCTTAATCCTTGTCTGTATTCATTTTCGCCCATTCCGCGCTTAGCGCGGAAGCTTTCACGTTTCATTAAATTATTCGTAAAAGAAGACGCTTCGTTGTATCGTGTACTTTGACGTTTCATTTGATTATTACGCTTAATCCACGTCTGAATTCAGTTGCTCCCTAACAGCTTTGCCCTTTTCACTGAATTATTAGAGAAAGAAGACGATTCGTTGTACTTTTCTCTATATTAATCCTTGTCTGAATTCAGTTTCCCCACTGAAAATAATTTGTGTTACAAATAAGTTGTGACATAATAATTTTTCTCCAAAAATGAAAAATCTTTTAGGAAATATCAGGAAATAAAATGAGTGAAAAAAACAAGAATAAAGATACAATGACGTGAATTTTAAAAAGGGTGAACGGAAACAACATAACAACTAGAGAACTATTTTATAAGTCGTACTAATGTCCGAAAATCTTTCTCCTTGTCTCCGATCTCATCACGAAATCGTCACAGAGTTCATCAATGTTTACACTGTCCAGGATTGTCTGATGTGCATTGCAGATTGCTATTTTTGCGCTTCGCGCTTAACATTTGGCTCGTTGCTTTTTGACGCTGCGTCTTTGCATTTGGCACACTATGATGCTGTTGATTGAACAAATTGAATAAATTCATCAATTCCTGATGAAGCCGTATGAGCGAGAATTCAATTTATTCTTGTCTGATATACGGTTGTATTATTTACTTCGTACATGTATATATGTATGTATTATGAAAATGAGATAGCAAAATGTGTATCTTGATGGTCATCTTGCGAGTAATAACCATTAACTACTCTCATCGGGCTCTCATCCTTAATTTTTCTCTTCATTTTTTTTTTTTTGATGGTGAATTATTGGGGGGGGGGGATGATTGTACCTGAAATATTGGGGGGGATATATCCCCCCATCCCCCCCCCCCCCGGGATCGACACCCATGACTAAGACATTGAACAACAGAAACCCCAAAAAATATATATTTATCTGACTACAGAAAGGTTCTTTGGCAGCAAACAACACACAATGAATTGAAGGCAAGATTTCAACTACAACTGGACAAAACTATAAACTCTATGTAAGATATTGTCAGTGCTAACAGCACGTATACTACGCTACAACATAATATACAATGTTTAACAAAATAGTATGTTATATATTAAATGTATACATGTACGTGTAGGCCTAGATACCAAGGGTCTAATTTTGCTTTGAGAAAAATAATTAAAACCATTTTATCCAAACTTCGACGTAATGATTTTACTAATTTTGAAAGAACCTTTAAGCTACGGTCACAAAGGTTTGTATCTCCCTGATTTTACATGGTCTTCCCGAATTTTCAAGGTATGAAAATCGTTCGCACGGCGTTCGTAGCAGTTCGTAATGGCATTTGTGACCGAGGCTTTAACTGTTTAACAGAATTGATATTGAACAACTGATGAAATTTGATGTTAGGTTTACTGTAATAATATTTCTGAAAGTAGATATTCATTTTCAGTGCCTGTTTTTTTTCATCTTCTCTTCGGTTCTTTCTCTTACTTCACTACCGTCAGGCTAAATGTATAATCTATTGCTTCACTCTAAACCCCGCGCATGGTTTTATTTTGATGAAAAATGCAGCGATACAAAAATAAAGGAATCTGTCGCTTGTAAACAAAATAAGACACCATTGTATTTTCAGCTGCTAACACCGCCGTATGTTCGGTTCAAATGACGTCCTTAATATCATTCCGGGGGGTTTTAATTTGAAAGTCTGGTTTGTTTGATTGTTAATTAACCACTATCCTGTGTATTTACGAACAAAAGATTTTAGTTATCAGAATCGGTTTCATATCCCCTTTTAAATGGTTTGAAATGCCATCACATTTATATAAACTAAACTCATTATAATTTGAGAAATAGTAGCTTGGCAATTATGTTCATTCTTTATGTGATATCGCACGGTCTGCTTGGGCAGTATTGGTGCATTGTGTGACGCCATTAAAGCATCGTTATTTTTTTTGGGCGAATCTCTCGTATATCGCAGATGCTATGGAGGTGGATGTATTTGTATTTTTATAAATCACCCGATATGTAGTTGACTTAAAAACTTGCCATATGTTAGCTTACCAGCTTCTAGTGATACATTAATTGACATATTTGTGATTGTCTTTGAATGTCCACGTTAACATACTGCTTACGAATAAAAGCAAAGGCTGGACATACGAAAAACATGATGAAATGTAACACCTTGTACTTTGAGATCACATAAGGAACACATTTCTAGAGGCTGACTAGCTAGGCAAATAACCTCGGACATTTAGTGACAGGCAGCTAGCTTACTATTACCACATCGATATTTACACAGAGATGCTATCACTAAAATCCTAAAATTTCCTCTTCATTCCAGTTTTGCAAATCAATGCCATTTAATTTACGATCCATAGATGGTCATTACGACCCGCCATGGCCGCGCAGGTATAATGTATGTGTGAATGCGTGTACTCGAACCCCCTACTATACTAGCCTATTGTCGAAAGCCCTCGCGTTGTTGGAGTCCGTAAATTCTGGCGAGCGAAGCGAGCCAGAGAAACCGAGCGCGACCTCGCTCGCTCTCGGTTTCTCTGACTCGCTTCGCTCGCCAGAATTTACGGACTCCAACAAAGCGAGGGCCATCGACAAGAGGCTACTACCATACATGTACTCGAACCCCCCACCGGGGTCATCAAGCGCTAGCACTGTTTTGAAAAGCTCCTCGCGGACTCGCCGATTTAATGTGTATAATATACATGTATAGCTGCGTCCATTTCCTATACAATACAGATGAATTAGACGTGAAATTCGTGTTGTTAATCACCATTCACCTTGTATATGCATTCTACTTTGACTGCATGGTGGTGTGTTACCGTTACCAAGAGCAATCATGAAATTTGATGACATTCTGGTGACCGTAGGGGAGTTTGGTCGTTATCAGAGGTTCATCTATGTCATCTTCTTTCTCTTGTCCGTTCCCACTGCCTTCCATGCCATATCTATCGTGTTTCTTGGCGGATCGGCCGATCATTGGTGTATGGTAAGTCGATAATTGATGATAGATAGGTTCATGTAGACACATTGTGGAGTTTTTAAGTTAATACAAATAATAACACAATCTCAAGTTGATCGGTTTTACCTTGTATTTTGTTCATTCTGTCCAAACCGCAACCTAGTACGACAATGGGTGTATTCCTTCGAATGTTTGTTGCTTACTGTATCCTTGACCTTTTCATGCTTCTGATGAGGAACATGCTATTTGTCAAACCGTGATATATAATAGACAATGCTCTTTGGGGTTAACTTTTAATATGAAATTTGACCTCTTGCGTGGCTCTGCGGCGAATAGGCCACTTTCGTAATGTAACCAAATTAATGCATAAGTCTTTGTGAAGTACCTCAATACAAATTATTTCATTCACCTGATTAACATAATAGTATTTCAATAGACAGAATCCGAACTGAATGCATTAGTTGTTGCCAGGTAGGACAAACATAATGGCTTGACCTACCTAGCAACACTTGATATATGAAGTTTACATTCTGACTATTGAAATATTATTATTCTTATCAGGTGAATGAAATAGTTTGTATTGAGGCACTTCACAAAGAATTATGCCTTAAATTTGTTTACATTACGAAAATGGCCTATTGAACTACTAGTCCGACAACTGTTTGTTTGTTTGTTTTTATTTATTTACCCACGGTTAAAACACCTGCTATCAGCCACAAATAATAAAATAAATGGCAAATAAATTATTAAAGATTTGAGTATTACATGTATATTGCACGAAGGTGTTATTAACAGGTAGTTGTATTATTATTTCAGACAGAAAATGAGTAGATAAATAGATAACTGACTATATGAATACAATATACTTCTAATACTTCTATTTTTCGAAAACCAACGGATTACATTGAAATTCTCAATGTAGTGAGATCGCTAAAAAACAGTCACTCTTCTGGGCATGATGAAATCAGTACATTTTTATTGAAAAAGATCATTGGTTCAATTCTAACGCCTCTTGTACACATTTGCAATCTCTCTTTGATGACCGGAGTGTTTCCTTCTTCTTTCAAACTGGCAAGGGTGATTCCTGTTCATAAAAAAGATGACGTGATGGTCGTTTCTAACTATAGTAGACCAATCTCATTACTGCCTAGCTTTTCTAAAGTTTTGGAACGAATTGTTTATAACAGGCTCTACAGTTTTTTAGATAAATGTGAATCATTGAATCTTGATCAATTTGGATTTCGGCGGTCTCATTCTACAGATCTTGCGCTACTGAAATTTTATGATCGCGTTTCAAGTGCACTCGCTGCTCACAAGCATGTCATTGGTGTATTTGTGGATCTGAGTAAAGCATTTGACACACTTGACCATTCAATTCTTCTTTCTAAGTTAGAGCATTATGGAATAAGGGGCATAGCTTTACAATGGCTTGCGAGTTACTTATCTATGAGAAGACAGTACACTTATTATAACTCTGTTAACTCTGACATTCTGTATCTTAAATGTGGTGTTCCGCAGGGATCCATCCTGGGCCCATTATTATTTCTCATTTATATCAATAATATTTGTAATGTATCTAAACATTTAAATTATACCTTATTTGCAGATGATACGAGTGTTTTCTTGTCTCATCGTGAAATCAACACTCTTGAACAGAAACTAAATTCGGAACTACCAAAGTTGACTTTATGGTTTAGAAGTAATGTGCTCTCTCTCAATGTTCTTAAAACAAATTATATTCATTTTAGAGGTAGAAAATCTAAAGACAACCTTGCTCTTAATATTAAACTAGATGATATTTCTTTAGAGAGAAAGACATGTACGAAATTCCTTGGTGTCTATATCAATGAAAAACTTGACTGGAGCGACCATGTAAAACACATTGTTACACCAATCTCCAGAAATATTGGCGTACTGTATAGAATAAAATGTTTTGTTTCTGATAGAATATTACTTATGCTATATAATAGTCTAATTTTACCACACATCTCTTATTGTAATATTTTGTGGGCAACATCCAGATTATTAAAGAAAGAAGACGATTCGATGTACCATTCTCGACTCTTAATCCTTAATGTTTGAATCAAATTCCCCTTCCCCGCGCGTTGCGCGGAAGCTCTGATGTTTCATTAGATGATTAAAGAAAGAAGACGATCCTATGTACCATTCTCGACTCTTAATCCTTGTCTGAATTCATTTTCGCCCATTCCTGCGCGAAGCGCGGAAGCTTTTACATTAGTGAAAGAAGACGATTTGGTCTCCTAAGTGGTATCACACATATCGTGTCCTTCATGAACTCAGTTTCCCCCCTTTAAAGCTTTAACGTTTCAATAAATTATTACTCTTAATCCTTGTCTGTATTCATTTTCGCCCATTCCGCGCTTAGCGCGGAAGCTTTCACGTTTCATTAAATTATTCGTAAAAGAAGACGCTTCGTTGTATCGTGTACTTTGACGTTTCATTTGATTATTACGCTTAATCCACGTCTGAATTCAGTTGCCCCCTAACAGCTTTGCCCTTTTCACTGAATTATTAGATAAAGAAGACGATTCGTTGTACTTTTCTCTATATTAATCCTTGTCTGAATTCAGTTTCCCCACTGAAGATAATTTGTGTTACAAATAAGTTGTGACATAATAATTTTTCTCCAAAAATGAAAAATCTTTTAGGAAATATCAGGAAATAAAATGAGTGAAAAAAACAAAAATAAAGATACAATGACGTGAATTTTAAAAAGGGTGAACGGAAACAACATAACAACTAGAGAACTATTTTATAAGTCGTACTAATGTCCGAAAATCTTTCTCCTTGTCTCCGATCTCATCACGAAATCGTCACAGAGTTCATCATTGTTTACACTGTCCAGGATTGTCTGATGTGCATTGCAGATTGCTATTTTTGCGCTTCGCGCTTAACATTTAGCTCGTTGCTTTTTGACGCTGCGTCTTTGCATTTGGCGCACTATGATGCTGTTGATTGAACAAATTGAATAAATTCATCAATTCCTGATGAAGCCGTATGAGCGAGAATCCAAGTGTGTGACTAATAATATTCTTCTGTTACAAAAGAAAGCTGTACGCATATGTACCCGAGCTGGTTATCGTGACCATGCTACCCCACTATTTGTTAAACTGAAATGCTTAAAGATTGATAATATTAACTCCCTCCAAATTGCCAAATTTATGTTCCGTTTTAATATCAAATTATTACCTACGTCATTATCTTCAATGTTCCAACCTAATAACATGGTTCATTCGTATTCAACAAGGCAGTCATCGAATTTACATGTGGTCAATCCTCACACTACATTAGCCCAAAAATCAATCAGACACAGAGGTCCAGATGTATGGAATTCTTTACCTAATGATATTCGAGATATAAAATCAACAAACTCTTTTAAAAGAGCACTCAAATGTATTATCATTTCACAGATGTAAGATATTACTTACATTATAATCTATTTATCAGTTCTAATTAAATCTAACATAATTTTGTTACTAGGCTTAACGAAATTCTTTTTTCTTTCTTTTTTTTAAAACTTTGTAAATAGTGTAAATAGTTCACTACAAAACTTTAGGAATTTTATTTGTCATATATTATATATTTGAAAGGTGTTGTAACGATTCAAGCTCTATTTGCTTATGTTTCATCACCTTTGTGTGTTCATTCTTCAAACTGTATATAAGTTGCAACTTGTCTTTGATAAAACAATGTTATATTCTTTTTCACGTGAAGTTAATTCAAATGTATTGTAAAATTGAAAATGATTTGTCATCTTATATTAATTTTTCATGTGATGTTAACTTCAATGAATTGTGAAATTGTGAACATGCATAATAAATAAATAAATAAAATAAATAAATAAATAAATAAATATGAGAGAAAACAGATATAGTATTATTTAAACTAGAAGACTGAATATTGTAATTACTTCCCGGCCCCCCTACTCCGAGAACGGACGGACCCCATGCGTGTTACCAAAATGTCCTTTCGTAACAAAAGAAAAATGTCGACCCGTATTGACTTTACACACCGGACTTTTGCTGAAAAAGGGGGGGGGTGCTGAAAAGGCTCGTATAACAAAAGAAAAAGGTCGACCCGTATTGACTTTACACACCAGACTTTTGCTGAAAAGGGGGGGGGGGGTGCTGAAAAGGCTCGTATAACAAAAGAAAAAGGTCGACCCGTATTGACTTTATACACATCGGACTTTTGCTGAAAGGGGGGGGGTCGCTTGGAACACGCATATGCGTACCCTAAATAACACTGAGTTGGGGGGGGGGCGGGAATTACTTATATCAATATATCTTTCTATAGGAAGATGGATCTGTAGTGAGGTTTTGAAAACTGAGAGAGTTGGGCTAATTATTACACTGCATGGGAGCATATTCCAATCGTTGGTAGTTCGTACATAAAATCAGTTTGTAGTAATCGGTTTTTGCAAAAAGTACAAACTTCTTCTTGTTGTGATCATTTCTACTTATACTTTTTGCTGGATGTAATTCTTGGTCTGACATTGACTAAGTTGTTGATAATCTTATAGAATATCGCGAGTCTGTGATACATTCGTCTTACTTCTAGAGTTGGTACGCTTAAATTGTTCTTACAATGTAACATAGTTTGTTTGCCAGTCTCGTCACATCATTCTCAAATAGCGTTTTTGAACATGTATTGTTCTATAGGGATCCCATGCTCTTAGGGTTTTAAAAACTGAACTTTGGTATTTCGAAAAGTTTCTCTTTCTAATCCCAATGATCTTACTGCATTTAATGTATGCTTCGTTTCCTCCATTAGAGAGTCTCATTAATCATGACCCCCAAATAATGTTCAGACATAGTGACATTCAAGTGCACACTCTCCGCTCCCTCAGGAGTGACTCAATACAATGGTGCAGATCGCACTTAGTCTAGTTCCGAACGGAACTAAACCTATTCCTATTCGCATAGTTTTTTTTCAAATAGCTCAGTTCATAATTACCCAACAAGACATTTGGACGATTTTCATTTACCTCTCTTGCGGACCCTCTCAGCTCAAAAAACATTTATATATGAAGGTCCAAAGTTTTGGAATTCATTAAGTAATGAAATAAAAAATTCTCCATCGATAAATACTTTTAAGAACAAAAATTGAAATTGTTTTTATTACAATCATATACACCTCATTGAATTATATGTCGTTGTTGCTATTGTTTAATACAAGGTCATTCTCCACTCACTTTAATACTAAACATGTAATTAGATATATTATATTGTGCCTTCTCATGCTTATTTCCTTTCTAACGCGCATTTCTCTTTCCTTATCTTCTTCTCAACCCCACATGCAGCTCATCATTTTGTATTATTTTCTGTACCCCCGATCTCTCACTTCTTTTTGTCATTGTCTACTCTTTGTATTATGACCGTGTTCTTCTATCTTTGTCGTGTAAAGCATTGTCTTGTCCCTTTCTCGTCTATGTTGGCATCCCCCTTTTTCTTTCCCCTAGTTTGTAGTTCTTTTTGTAGTTACGGATTAGTTAATTTAATTACTCATTATTCCTAAGTATCATTTGAGGTGTTCAAACTTGTACAAGCATTGCTTTTAAGTGGACCCCTCTGTTTCCAACATGTATTTCTTAAATTTGTTTTAAATGCTTATATTAATTGATTTGTAATGTTTTGTTGGAAACATGAATAAATTGAAATTGAAATTGAACTGAAATTGATTGAATGAAAATCTATTGAACTGGTTTGAATTCTCATTTCAGGTTCCTCAATGGAAAAATGAAAACTGTAGCGAATGGAACGTGGGTATAGATGAGTGTGATGAGTTGAAACGCTACGCCAGTATACCTCAGACCAACGCGTCTGAAGTCAACCAGTGTTCTATGTACAATGTCTCCACCTTACCTTTCGTTCCACTGCCTGATGGGAACTCGACCACGGCATCACCATTGATCGACTACCACTCCTTGGATGTCGTACCATGCCCAGCAGGCTGGGAGCATGACACCTCCCAGTACACGTCAACCATTAATATGGATGTGAGTACTACTCTCATAATCAGATAATAATAACGCAAAATCGATTTCAAATAGTTTTACATACCGAGACCACCAAGAAGATGAACAATAAATACATCTTCAAAAGGGGAAATCGGTTGTGTCTCGTGTTTTTACTTTTCTTCTTGTGTTTCCAACTGGATTTTAAAAAGAATACTTGATCGAGGAAGACTTATATGAAAAATAATGTACATGTATAATCTATTTCGTGGGGAACTATTAAGTGTGGAAATCGGAATCAAGAGGCATTTCAGAGTTTAAAAAATAAAGAAGAGAATTAAGGGCAAGGCCACGTATTAGATCATTTTAATGTTACAAACACTACCGTGTATATTGTTTACTTCTGTACAGAACAAAAAATCAGATGTGTCAATTTACTTCATATTTGGTATATCTTATCTATCAAGCTAGGACTTTGATCTTAATACATTTACAATGACTACATAAACTAAACTTCAACGGGTCGGTAAGGTATGGGACAAAATAGATTGGACTTGACCTCAAACAATTTTATTTATCATTTATTATAACGTACACATGTATATCAGGGAGGGCCGATAACCGTCTATGTGTGTATTGCATATAGGACTCAATAGCAAGGGTCAAATGCATAATAAAGAATCCTTCTGTTTGAGATTTATATAAACCTAAGGTTTTATAGTCTAATGATCAAAATCATTGCATTTAATACATAGCCCTTGTTATGTACATGTATTGCGAGGTTCATGAATATTACCTAATATTAGAGCAGGGATCAATAAACATTTCCCCACCATTTGTAATTGATTAATGTCCGATCATAAGAAAAGAGAGGTAAACGTATAAACCATTGAAATAGCTTTATAAGCTTGACAACCTCAATGGAGAGTCACATGAATATTAACATGAGACTTCTATGTTTGGACGTAATGTAGGTGATTCTCCAACAAATCCCTGAATGAATTTAACAGCTTGTTTAAATTAACTTTGATGAAAAATCGGTCTAACTGGAATTATATATTGATTTTCCTTGTTTAGTTTGGTTTAGTATGTGATAACAAAGATCTTGCGGATATTTCCTCGTCACTGTGGTTCGTTGGAGTGCTGACAGGAAGCTTGGTGTTCGGATACATCGCAGACAGGTGCGTACATCATTTATAAATTAAAATAAGAATAGTATTAAAGCAGGACTGCACTACTTGTAGCTACTTATGCCCTCTATAATTATAGCCAGCAATGCCTAAGCGGTACCCGGTGATCCCCCATGTTCCCCTTTTTCTTTTGTTAATTGAGAGCTGATTTGATGAGATAACCACATGGCAGTGACCATGCAGGGATGTCTAATCCCTGGAGGCCAAACTAGTGCACAATCTCCACTCCCTGGGGAGCATTTCAGCCAGGCGTGTCCGTTGTTTGTAGTGAAAAATGTTACGTATAGGCAGGTCTATAACTATGACAAATTAAAAGCACAAAATTCCAGTTTGATTTCTCTTTTATATGCCAGTTTTGAGGAATCATTATTCTGCGGGATGTTACCAAACTTGGCACAGATGTTGAATTGGTGACAAATCTGTAATTCTGGATGCAGGCTATATAATATACAACTCACAAGCCTTGATTTTGTTGAGGTTATTCTGATGAGAACTTGTGTTGCTTTCATTTTGTAGGATCGGTCGATTAGCCACGATGTGGGTATGCATTACTGGCCAGCTTGTTTTCGGTGTAGCTGTGGCATTCGCCCCCTCTTTCTGGTGGTTCGCCTTCCTTCGGACTCTCCTTGCTATGAATAACATGGGAGTCTTCCTTGTTGCCTTTGTTCTCGGTAAGTATGACGGTCTCAACAATATGGTAAGGTTGTTTCCGTTTTCGTTCAGTTAGAAATAGCGCAATATTGTTGGTAATGCTCTTTTGTCCAGTTACATAAACTGTCATTCTTCTGTTAAAACCTCTCGCATTTCATTCAATAGTCAGAATGCAAAAACCATGTCTTACTTGTAGCTCGATTGGACAAACCTAACCCTACCTCATATTATATGTAATCTACGTTATGATCAACCTGTAACAGATGAGTGTTATAACATGTCACTAAACACTTGGTAAAGGAACGGCAACAGATTTGAAATCATACAAGAAATGTTTGTTTTTATGGAAAACGTTCGATGAATCAGAGTTAGTATCGAAACTCTTCGGCCCTCCTCTCCTGGATTCATCATTTGCATACACATCATTTTAGTAGGTTTCAGTGATATTTGAAAAAAGTTAATGCCCATGGATTTTACAATTCACAATTCATTCATTTTCATATCTTTGTAACTGATTATAGAAACAATGGTGTACTATAGATTGATGTAGAAGCATATATCTTAATGAATTACGATTCGCTTAACAACATAATCTGGAATGTTTGTTGTCTTGCAGGTACGGAGTTTGTAGGTCCATCTAAACGTGTGGTTGCAGGAACTGGAATAATGATAGGTTTCTCAATCGGATATATGGGACTATCAGTTATTGCTTATCTGATTCGAGATTGGAGGCATCTACAGCTTGCTCTGTCTGTACCTGTGGTCCTGTTCTACGTGTTTATACCGTAAGCAGTAATCATTATTATATCCTCTTGAAGCGCATCTGGACTATCAAATTTACCACAAGGCTCGTTCAAAGATGACGCGGAAACCCGCTGAAAAAATGAAGAAAAAAAACCGCCGCGGTTTTCCCTTTTAAACTAATGGCAACCGCGCCAACAAAGTCCTCTATGTATTGACGTGGCTCTCCGTGGTATAAGATACAGAAGTGTGAATGTATTACCCTCTTCGCATTGACACCTCAGTTTTTGCCGCCTCAGATCTGAACGAGGCTTTAATGTATAGATTGTTACGGACTTACTATTTAATTTATAAAGGCATAGACTGTCTTTCGTGTTAACATCATGTACGTGTGGCATAATTCAAGCGCCTTCTTTTTTCAAATAATTGGTTATAAGTTTACACACCCATCAACATTTCTTTGATCTACATTTAATAACACAATGAGAGACAAGTACACAATGTCATACATTTTTGTTGGGGGTGGGGGGGGGGGGTCTATTTTTGAAGAAGGGTAAGATGTAAGGTAGATGTGAGTAGACAGTAGATATTCAATTTAGAGGTAGAAATACAGTGAAAACATTACAAATTGATAGAATAAAAGCAAAGTAGAGATACCAATAATGACGGGGGGCGGAGCAAAATAAATGAATAAATGATAATGATAACATTTGTTTATATTCGATTTATTTCAAAGGTTTGTTCCCGAGTCTGCCCGTTGGTTGTTGAGTGTTGGAAAAGTAGAGAAGGCAAATGTCGTCATTGACAAAATCTCCAAGACCAACAATGTCCCCTTACCTCAGCCAGTCTTCACGCAAAGGGATAAATTGCAAATGGTAATAAGACTTCTACAGTTGTTTGTCTAAATATCGTTAGGTACTAAACTATATATCGCTATGTTAATTTGCTTGAATTTGCTTTGTCATTGAGGCATCATGCATTCTTGCTTCATGCTGGAGAGTAGTGTCTTCTCGCTAATACACTCAACTTTCTTATTTGTAGTACAACAGAAATACTATTGTGACAGATAGCACTAATTGTTCATGATAATGCATTCCCCTTCTATTGATTTTTGTGACCCTACGAATAAAATCAATTACGATTTTTCATATGTATTATATTAAGTAATTCGCCGTTTTATTCTGCTTTGGACTGTGGGGAGAGACTCGACGTCATTGATATTATGAAGCAATTGCAATTAGTTTATATTGACGGAATGAGGAAACAACCAAGTTTTGCTAAGCTCTTGACCTTGTTATTGTTGTATTTCATTAAAATGATATTTATTGCAGCAATATAAAAGAGAGAATGTTCTTGGTTTGCCGAATATGTAGATGTAAAATATACAATGAATTATATACATGTACCGGTGTGTTTTGCATCGTATTTCTTCTCTCTTTCGCCAATTTCTATTTCTCTATTTATCTTTCTTTCTCTTTTTTTCTCTTTATTCTCACTACCTCTATCCCCCTCTAACCCTTTCTTACCTTCTTTATCTTCCCTATCACCCTCGTTAACGCTATGTTGTTATTTGTGTTCTGCTCTGACTTTACATTATCAATTAGCAAAAGGAAAGAGGTGAGAATCGAGCGACGCTCTTCGATCTATTCCGGAATCGTAATCTGAGAATGGAATCATTCAATCTTCTCTTTAACTGGTAAGATTATGTTCACAGCTTAGAAGTGATGACCCCTGACTATAATAATCAGCTTGGTGGTGACGATCCCTGACTATAATAATCAGCTTGGTGGTGACGATCCCTGACTATAATAATCAGCTTGGTGGTGACGATCCCTGGGTATAATAATCAGCTTGGTGGTAACGATCCCTGGCTATAATAATTAGCTTGGTGGTGACGATCCCAGACTATAATATCAGCTTGGTGGTGACGATCCCTGACTATAATAATCAGCTTGGTGGTGACGATCCCAGACTATAATAATCAGCTGAGTGGTGACGATCCCAGACTATAATAATCAGTTTGGTGGTGACGATCCCTGGGTATAATAATCAGCTTGGTGGTAACGATCCCTGGCTATGATAATTAGCTTGGTGGTGACGAACCCAGACTATAATAGTCAGCTTGGTGGTGACGATCCCTGACTATAATAATCAGCTTGGTGGTGACGATCCCTGACTATAATAATCAGCTTAGTGGTGACGATCCCTTACTATAATAATCAGCTTGGTTGTGACGATCCCAGACTATAATTATCAGCTTGGTGGAGACGATCGCTGACTATAATAATCAGCTTGATGGTGACGATCCCAGACTATAATAATCAGCTTGGTGGTGACGATTCCTGACTATAATAATCAGCTTGGTGGTGACGATCCTTGACTATAATAATCAGCTTGGTGGAGACGATCCCTGACTATAATAATCAGCTTGATGGTGACGATCCCTGACTATAATAATCAGCTTGGTGGTGACGATCCCTGACTATAATAATCAGCTTGGGGGTGACGATCCCTGACCATAATAATCAGCTTGGTGGTGACGATCCCTGACTATGATAATCAGCTTGGTGGTGACGATCCCTGACCATCATAATCAGCATGCTGGTGACGATCCTTGACTCTAATAATTAGCTTGGTGGTGACGATCCCTAGCTATAATAATCAGCTTGGTGGTGACAATCCCTTACTATAATAATCAGCTTGGTTGTGACGATCCCTAACTATAATAATCAGCTTGGTGGTGACGATCCCTTACTATAATAATCAGCTTGGTGGTGACGATCCCCGACTATAATAATCAGCTTGGTGGTGACGATCCCTGACCATAATAATCAGCTTGGTGGTGACGATCCCTGACTATTATAATCAGCTTGGTGTGACGGACCCTGAATATAACAATCAACTTGGTGGTGATGATCCCTGACTATAATAATCAGTCGAGTGGTGATTATCATTAAATTTGAAGAACAGCTAGGGTAGAAACGATGTCTGAAGAAGTTATACATTATTGTCGATTTTTTTTCTTCATGGATTTTGAGCAAACATTTGAGATTTTTTGTACTGTTACTATAAGTTCGACTTGCCCATGAATTATGGTTGTCAAATGTAATGTCTACAAACTTTGCCCTTTTATTTCGGAAAATGTTATGAAAATTAAAAAACATTCTTCCGGTTTTCACATTTGATGGCATATTTTGTTTAACAAATGCCGTAATGCCCATTTGTACAACACATTTGTAGGTGATATTATTTCGTTCATAAACTGACTTCGAGTCTTCAGCGCTGGAAGAACGTATAAACCTACCATAAAACTTAAGTTAATCACAACCATACCTCTGAAACCATGTTGAAGAAAAGTATGATGGCACCACAGCCCGGAACACACGTCTAATCAATTACATTATTGTGACTTTCTTCAAAGGAATTGTTAGGGCTTTTTATTCCACCCTTCAGTTAGTCACCTGTCATTTTGATATTTCTTCTTTCTAGGTTTGTTGAGAGTTTAGTGTACTATGGTCTTGCCCTGAGTTCATCAGACTTTGGAGTCAATGTTTACATCGCAGCCTTTGTGTCTGGTGCTATAGAGGTACCAGCTTATGTTAGTAGTATGTTCGCTCTCGAGCACTTTGGACGTCGCCCATCAACCTGCTTCTATCTCCTCTTAGCAGGTGTCGCCTGTATTCTTACTATCGTCATTCGTAAGTATAAGTATTATACTTACCAAATTACAGTTTTCATCTCATGTAGGGTGGCATCGCATGTACGCTTACGAATATCATTCATAAATTTGTGCTATCATGTGATGTGTGACGTTGCCTGTATAAAATTATGCTCTGCTCATGAACATCAGAGAACCAAATATTAGAAGTGCCTCGGAAAACACTGATTTACTGACGTCTATTTCCTAAAAGCGACATTGAGGCAATAAAAACATTCCGCTTTTGTTATGTTTACTTCTTTTGGATGAGAATAAGGGGTTGGAATCGAAAACATCTTTTCACTCTTACACTTGATCAATCATACGTTGACCACTTTGATGCATTGTCTCAAGAAAGGTACCTTGCTTCGTCTACACATGAGGCGTGATCTCAAATCATTCATTTTATAGCATCTCACACAGTCGGATGATGTTCTTTTGCAATACAGTTGCAATCGTTTTGATTGAAATCTTGGTTTCATTACAGCGGCCGGTATAGGAAGGGTCGTCATGGCAACCATTGGCAAGTTTGGAGTGACTGCTTCTTTCAGTATCATCTACATCTATACAGCTGAACTCTATCCAACACCACTCAGGTAAGACAGAATGAAGAAAAAAATCTAGAAAAAAGACAGAAAGTAATGTAAAAGAAAGAGAAAGATTTAGCAGCTAGGAAGAAGACTAAATGAAATAGAGTAAATGCAAATCATAGTGAATCATTTCGATCACGTTTTGTTTATGCCAAGGAGTTACCTTCAATTTAGCTGAATTTTGTTTTGTTTTCTATGTAGGAGTGTAGGTATTGGTATGTGTTCGATGTCATCTCGTATAGGGGGTATTATTGCCCCCCTCATACGCATCTCTGGTCGTTCATGGAGACCCCTTCCTTTCATCATCTATGGTGCAGCGAGTATCGCAGCAGGTCTTCTTGCTCTTCTGCTGCCTGAGACAAAGGGACGTAAGCTACCAGAGACCGTAGAAGAAGGAGAAAACTTCAGGTATGTCAGGAATATTGTTTATTCGCACGTGCACTGTCACCCCCCCCCCCCCCCCTACAACTTTGTTCACAAATCTGAAAATGTCTGTTTGGAAATTGTTAGCCCTAATCACCAAATTTTAATACATGATATCCTGTTTATTATGTTTCCTGTAAATTTGAAAGTCTTGGGCCTTTCTTCTGTTCAATTTATTCTGTTCAATATATGTGCTGTTCCCCTAATGGCCTCGCTTACCGGACCCCCTCACCCCCTCTTTATTTTTGTTATGAATTTATCTAATGTCAAGGTCAAATGATGTAATGTTGCTAACCTTACTGTAACCGGGTATGGAGGAGCAATTATAATCTTAATAAATACTCATCTTTTCTTAAAGATGGAATCCAAGTTAAAAGTTTTACTGAATAGGAAATACAAAACAGGAATACTTGGAGAATTGCAGTCTGTGGATATTGTACATTTAATGTGTGTTGTAAAAAGGGGGCCTTTTATTTTGATGAGCTTGTATTTTATTTGAAATAATTGTTTAATAACATTATTTTAACAGGAATGCCACATCTGATAAGAAGTACATTCCAGTCGATGAAGATGATAAAGATGCTGTCCCCATGACAACGGTCAACAATGCTCCGGATCATTTGGTCGTATAGGGAAAGTGATAGATAGACTATGTTATGGTTTCAACATACGGTGAAGGAATCATGTAACCGGGTGATTAATCTGTATCGTTAAAAAGGCTCTTTAAAAAGACAAAAAGACAGAATAATTTTTCACTGTGTGTATAAAACTTTGATTATCATTGGTTACTGATAAAAACAGTATTTTGTATACCATACTGAAAAGGAGGCAATGTATAAAGGGACCAACTTTTTTCACAAAAGATCATTTACATGTATACGTCCCGCTTTAGTTCTGCATCAATGTACACACCCAATTATTTCAAGAATTTTACTTGATTGATTACATGACCATTGATACTTATATCAAGTCTGTTTTATTTTATGAGCTTGTGTCTGTGTCTAATGAGCAGGCTCATGGTTATGTCATAATGAACCTTCAGTCTATTCTCGCTAATCCATCTGTCCAGGTTGACCGATTCTCTGTTCAGAGTTAATGGAACTGTATGTGTGTTTTTATGAGTAACGTTACGATGTAAATGCAGGACTTGGCAACACTAACCCTCACCCTAATGTATTCAGAATTTCAGATGTATATCTCATAAGAAACCATGCATATACCTTCAACAGGTTTCTCCCAGCGCCTTTGTAAGCTTCAGTAGGCTTCTCGTAATAAGCCTATTACCCTTTTGTTGTAATGTGCTTGCTTGAACTGATGATGATGATGCACCCCTCCCCCCCCTCTCTCTCTCTCTCTCTCTCTCTTTCTCTTCCTTTCTCTTCCCCCTCTTCCTTTCTCTTCCCCCTCCTCTGTCCTGTTCTTTAACTGTTCTCCTTCTTCTTCCCTGTAAATCATATTCTCTTCCTTATTTATCGTTTCACTAAACTCGTTATTTTTGCCCTTTGTTTCATTCTTGAATACAAGTTTAATTGTTCCCCCTAAATATAAAGCTTTGCAAGCAATGCTTCTTTTTTTAAGGTTCCTCCACCTTTTCTCAAATTAAAATATCATTAAAATTATTATATTTTCTACAACTTTTTGATAACGGTGCAATGTATATGTTCACTAAAGATGTATGTTCATCATTGATTAATCGCAACATCATTATTGTACCAATTTTGGTAGTGCATTGCTTTGTTTTATTTATGTTTTATCATATATGAGAAAGTGGAAATAAATTTGAACTTGAACTTGAAATATATCATGGATGCCATCTGCGTACTAATGAAGATTGCATGAATGAAATACAGAGGGTAATCGTTTATAAATGGATCCAAAATAAATCCTTTTGGCCCCATAGGCCTATAAAAGTTGCAATTCTCCGATTTGAAAGGTAGTTTTGAAACTATTTGAGTGACATCCCGTTGATCCTGCTCTTCCTGCAGTTTCTTGTCAAAGTAACACATATTTGTTAATATTTTTATTTTGATGATCTGACAAATAAAACCTTTCATAATTTTTAAAAAAAAATGGGGAAAGACACTTATCGATTCAAAATAACCTCAAATGTCATGGTATAATCTTACCCTTTTCCTTTTGTTTTTAACATCTAACAGAGCTTCGATTTAAGACGATTATCAACAACCTCAATTCGGGGAGATTAGAAGGAACGTTGTGTTAGAAACTAAATGCCTTCTAGAATATTCTATGGTGTTTTTTTTAAAATGAAATTGTATGCCCCTTTAAGCTTGTAATATTGTTTGCTTTGAAATGCAATGCCCGTTTTGGTCGGATTTCAGCAATTGAAATCATGTTACGATGTGCGATTCGTTATCTTTTCTTTTTATTCCTTCAAACCTTCAAATTGATGTTGTTGATAATCGTCTTAAATCGAAGCTTTGTTAATGTGAGGTGTAAAAAGAAAAGAAGAAAACAAATAATAAAAGTCGATGAGTTTTTTCTTTTTCCATGTTGCAAAATAGTGCCAAATCTGTATATCTTTAATATAGTTTGATATGTTTGGAAAATAAATGGATGGAAAATGGATGGATGGATGGATGGAAAATGTTCATCTTTTCTCCGGTTGTTAAAAATGCAAACTGTGTTTCTTAATGTTATAACAGCTTTCAGTTTTTTTTTCTACTACATGTAATACATATGTTGATGTATTTTACTCGATGTTTGCTTTGTATTCTGCTGTCAATGGTGCTTTTAACTTGATCAGCATCATATGGCAATAGATTGTGTAGAATAAAGTTTGGCATTCCAAAAAGCTGCAAAGGTGGACATTTCTTTTCTTTCAATATGAAACCTGTCGAGAAAGCCGGGTGTCGGAATTCACTGAGGTGATCACGGAACTCACATTACAGGGATATGCACAATGATACCAACTTACGATTAAGACATTTTAACATAAAGAGAGAGGGAGAGGCAGGGAGGGAGAGAGAGAGAGAGAGAGAGAGAGAGAGAGAGAGAGATGGGGGAGGGAGGGGGCTACCTGAGCCACATAAAGACAAAAGCAGTTACAGAAAGAGACTTACTCGGGAAAAACAAGCTGACAAAGAGAGAAAGAGAGACAGGAATATGAAATACAAGATGATTGGAAGATACTAGGACAAAGAATAGGAAGACAGAGACGGAAACTCGGTATGAGGGGGGGGGGGGGGGGGGGAATGCTGTTAAAGATAAAGTTGAGTTCTGGTGAAAGAATATGAATTCTCACAGAATCAAACGAAACTTACACTGAATGTTCAAGATTACAAATAAATGTCATTTGCCAAACAATTTTGGTAGAAAATGTATACTGGCTGAGTAATGAGCATGAAAAGATTAGGAAATCAAGGTTAGTAGTAGGTATAGCACACCAAAAATAATTACAACAAACACATGTTATTTGATGGTTGCAAATGACGAAGCTTTATGAAAGCTTCAAAAAACTGAAAACAGAATTGAAATCGGTCAATGCGTTGTGATTTTATACCATTTTTTTGATATCGCAAAATTACCGAAAAACCTGCCAAAAATGGTCAAATGGTCAAATTGTCAAAAATGGCATAATTCGACAAAGTTGATAACTTAATTCATCACTTTCTTGGACACAAATAATAAATTAAATTATCAGACACTAAAATATCATCTTTGTGGTAAAAAAAATACAAAAAAGAAAATTCATATCTATTACCGTTTTGAAAACGGAAGCCAACAAAATAAGTCATTTTTGCCATTTTTGCGAATCTGCAGATATAAAAAAGTTGTGAAAATAACTAAGTCCGCCTAATTAATATGCGCATATGTAATCAAATCAAAACCGAACATGATACATCAGTGAAACCTATATATATTAGACAGGTATGGAAATATATTTCATTTGAAATAAAATAAAATCATGAATATTAAACAAATATGCAAATTAGTCAAAGTCAAACTGTTCATTTTGGGGGCATTTTTTAAATCATATATTCATAGATCATATTTACACCAAATATTTACCTTAAATTCCTAATATTTTTGCAATGCCAATACAATATGGCGATGGAAATTACTTGGATCACCGTCACAGCTATTTCCTCATATGTTTTCACGAATAATTCAGAAAAAACGATTATACGATAAAAATGTGTAGACTTTCAGCTACATCACAGTATATTTGCCTTTTTCAAAGATGTCAGATTTGAGGATTTATGACGATTTTCCGAGATACCATTCAACAAATTTATTATGGTTTTGATGACTCCAGAACTGGTAGTACACACCAATACTTGCATGCTACATGATCAACTTTTTCAGAACCATTCCACACCTTTCCTTTCACAATGCAATTGTTGTTGTTGTTGTTTTTTTTTTTTGGGGGGGGGGGTTAAGGGCCCCAATGCCTTATCTAGAGCTGCTACTGGACCCTGATCTCAATGATACCATGAATGTGCCACCCAATGAGATTTGACCTCATAATCTTACCGATCGAGACCCTCTATCACGTACAAAATAGGTTGTCGGCGACCATAGCCATCATCAGAAGTGTTTAGCTCACACAACCCCCGAAGCAGACCGACCCTGAGGTTAAGACCCACAGTGCCCCCCCTCCCACTTTTCCAAGTACCCAAAAAGCGCCCCTTTAACTTTGTAAGAAGTGCCTCTTTTTACATAGGAAGAGTATCCATTTTCTTTAACAACTGCCCCTGCCCCTTTTCACTTCTGACAAGTGCCCTTTCTGTTTTAACACGTGCGTCTTTACCTTTCGACAAGTTCCCATTTTCCTTTGCATTAATAATTTTATTGTCCATTTTCCATAGTGCCCTTTTAAATTTCTAGTAAGTACCCATTTCATGTTCGATAAGTGCCCCTTTTTAGTTTTAATAAGTGCCCCCCTTCACCTTTGATAATTGCCCTATTCAAATCTGAGATGTGCACCTTATATGTTCACATGTGTCCCTTTTCCTCTCTAATAAGTGCCCCTTTTCCTTATGATAGGTGCTGCGATTTTAAATGAGCCCTATCCCCTTCTCATAAATGCCCCTTTTCACCTACGAAAAGTGTCCCTTTCATTCTCATAAGTGCCCCTATTCAACTCTGGTAAAGAACTATTTTCGGGTACGCGAAGTTACTCCTTTTCACTTCAGATAAGTGCCCCCTTTACCTAAAAAAAATGCCCCTATTCAAATCTAAGAAATACATGTTTTACTTTGAAAAGTGTCCCCCCCCCCTAATAATATCTGATCGTTGCCCCATCTCTTTCAACAAATGCACATTTTCCTTTATCATAAGTGCCCCTTTTTCATTATCGTAAGTGCCCCTTTTCACCTCTGATAATTTCCCTTTTAACAATGATATGTGCCCCCTTTTCCTTTCTAATTAGGGACCTATCCCCTTGTCATGAATAGGCTTTTCACCCCTTATAAAAGCCCCTGTCAAAATATGATGGGTACCCCTTTTCCGTCGACAAAATAATGCCCATTTTCCATTCCCATAAGAGCCTTTTTTCACCTCTGAAAATTACCCTTTGTACTCTGACACGTGCTTCTTTTCTTTTCTAATAATTTTCTTATTCTTTTTGATAAGTGTCCCATTTTCCTCCCATGTCCCCTGGAGGGGGGGGGGGGGGGGGGGGGAGGTACTTAGATTTGGTTTGGACGGGGGTGTTCCGCTCAAACCTTAACCCATACCCATTTTTAAGGGTCATTTGGGGGGATTTTCGAGTGAAAAAGTGACCCATTAGAGCGGCACACTCCCGTCTGTACTCTTAATATGTGAGTTGTGTGTAACCTCCCCGGCTCACGCCCCTAATTTCTGGGTGGAGAGTGGAGCTCAAGATCTAGATTAGGTTTAAGAATTTGTGACAGAAATAATCCAAACTCCGGAGATCTCATTCTCCTTGGTGTTATAGCGCCATCTATGGGTTGTATAGCGTAACGTTCATGTCGAGCATGTTACGAACCTAAACCAAAGGCAAAACATATTGCGTCTAAATATCGCTTCTTAACATCCTCATTATGTCATCTAAAGGAGGTCCACGAGCAGCAGGTACAGATGGCAGTGACTTTCAACATCGAGAACAAGTTGCGTCTCAGTATAAGACAAGGTATCGTGTAGAAAACTTAGTTTCAGTTCACTAAATTGTGTGGGTGTGTCTTAAGAACGTACGGACAGTAGGCTGCTTCCTTCCCTGGACTGTCGGCACAGTGGTCTGCTGAGTTGTCGTTGATTTCAGCATACATTTGAATGATCGATGATGTGGGGTTCTGTTCAATTCTTCATCGTCATGATTTGAGAGGCTAATGTGGAAGACTCTCCCGTTTGAGTCTCATTTCTCAGAGACCTAAATGACAAAATGAGATAAACCACACCAAGGCATTTAAAAAAAGTAATTTTACCAGATATTTTTGCTTTCGAAAGCAGATGCAGAGGACAGAATCCCATTTGTAATGTGTCTGGATCACCCAATGTAAAGAGAAATTATGAAAAATATGTAGACACTTGGCCTGGTACAAAACTAGACTGTCAAAAGAAGTGTTCTCAAGTTGACCTAGATCGACATGTACAGCTCTCCATTGCCTTATGTCGAACCTTATTTTATATTATATTATATTAGAGTCTATCAATATTTAATATTGATATTATTATAACTGTTATATTATTATTATCATGAAAATCATTATTATTTTTGTAATGATTATTATTTGATGTCAGATATATACATTTTGTAATGAAGAGGTACTGTTTACAAGTTCAAGAGATGATATTCTTGGATTCTCCAACATAAAACTTAATGCTATTTAGTGGTCCAAAGTACCATCCAATGTTTATTTTCTTGAAAGTTGTAACCTAATCATTAATCATATTAGGGGTGTAATATACATCAAGTTGAGGACTGACTCTAAACATCTTTATTTTATTTCTAGTGTCCAACTGAAGTCCAAGTTCCGCACCTGCCTCTACATAAACATCTTGGTAGTCCTAATCCAAGTGGTGATGTTTGCTGGAGCTCACTTCCACATCATTCCATCTGACTTCTACCCATCACCATGGCAATACACCTGGATGTTGAGTGGAGTGGTGTCTCTGATTGGTCTCAATGCTCTTGCTAAGAATAAGAAGGAGATGTTGAGTTTGCACGATCTTGGTCTCACAATCTTTGGTTTTGGTGGCATCTTCTTTGGATTCACTTCTCAATATTCATCTCATCAACGATATATAGCATCAGGAGAAACGAAAAGGATTGCAGATATTCCTCTTCATTATATTTGGGTGTTTGTGCTTGCTTCGAATGCCATCAATTATCTTGCAACATATGTCTACTCTATCAGACTAAAAGCAGCATGGAACGTTAGAAAAACAAGATGAAATATTCTTGTCTTTATCATTAACAGTATTTGTGCTTTTGATTTTGATTAAAATCAATTTCAATTTCAAGATGGCCTTGTCTTCCCATTTTATCCAAATGATCTTTAAACAACAAAACTTGTATAAGGACCAATTGAATGATAGATACTCGCATAAAGCAGTGTACTGTTGTAAAGATGTTATTAGGGAAAAGTAGAATGTTATATGATGTAATTTAGTAAAGGATTCCCCTCCCCCTTTACATTTTGTTAGGATTTACAGGTGTACATGTAGATTGAGATAGGATGTAGATGTAGTATAATATTGACACATTAAAGCGGACAAAATTAGAGAAAAGATCAGTAAAAGTTTGTGGGGAAAATTTAAAATTATGACTTATAAAAAATGCAACTCTGTGACTTACCATCTTAAGCATATCTCCCATTTGCCTTCTATTGAAATTTGCATCAATTTATATTTTGAAGGATAAAACATTGATGTAGGATAAGGTCTTTTTCATAAAGAGGTTTTGTTAAAGACATTTACATTTAGGGTGCATTTATGGTATATAGTTGATAATAAGAATAACAATATTATCTCATTTACCCAGTGTAGCCTTATCAGTATAACTAATGTTCTCCCTGAGGGCCCTGCAATGATATCATAAGATGGGCTCTACTCGGGGGTCGTATTCTGAAAAACAATGTTATCTTTTAGGTAGAAAAACATTGATAATTATCACAACAAACAAAAGTTGGGACAAGTCATTGATTGATATCTGACCAAAGCTATTAGATCAAAAGTAATAAAAGTATGTATCGATGTACATGTACATGTAGTACTAGTAGCCTTTGACGATAAAGAAAGTTCTTAAAAATTTGATGTTTGAAAATTTGAAGAGCTTATACTTTATATCAAATGGGACCAATCACTGAAAAGAATTATTCCCCTTCATAGCACCAGGAGGTGATAGCACCAAGTGTGTAAGTGAAAATCTTTCATCCGAGCATCTAATAACCGTCTAAACACCACAGGTAGCAAAATAATGTAGTACCTCTACAAATATTCAGTGAATGTAGACAATGTAGTTTAGTTGTATGTCTTGCGGCCCATGGGATCGCTGATCTCCAGAATAGCGGAGGGAGAACAAGATGATGATGAATGTACATGTAGATGATAAAAGAAAGACAAATTTTTGTAGAAGTGGAAGAAGGGAGAATTCTAAAATGAATTTGCACTTGAAAGTATGTATTTATAAATACACATACCTGTGGTACAGATAAGGTACTTCAAGCGATTTGATGTAGATTAGATGTACTTCAAATGTAACAGTCATTCTGTATCGGAAGTAGTGGAGAATAGTTTGGAAAACTTGTAGAAACAAAAGAAATGCATCTTTTTTTCCATTGTTTTACAGTGAACCTTTTTTGAGTGAGAAAGGAAAAAGAAGGTTAGGTTTGGTTATCATGCATTCAATCTAGATTCTACATCTCAAACTGCTTGAAATTTTCAGTTAACATGACCGTTTGTCAAAACATGTACGGTATATGTTGTAAGAGAAATGAAACGCCTTTTATACACTCACTCGTTTTGTGGATGGGCTGTATAAACACACTTTGGAAAATGAGTAAAAAAAAATCACCTTTTTTTTCCAATGACCTATCCAGAGTAGGTTTGAGAGTAAACCTCATGGATAAAAGAATATTACCACATGTGTACACAACATTTGCAAGAAGTGAATAATATTGTGGTAAAACAATTGAAAGATCAGGAATGAAGTGAAATTCATAAATTGTGTTAGGACTTCAGATTTCCTTCTTTTTTAAAAGACATATTTTGGCGAGTACCAAGTTGTGTTCCATACACTACACTATTACATTACCAAATACATCTACGATTCTTGTTTATATTATGATTATGGCCAGTAAATAGCCCAACTTGAGTTTTGATCAGACCAAATCCCAAGGAAAATGACCCTTTGGATGCTAATTGGTGTTCCTTATTCTTGGTCATGACTGGGACAGCCTTTCGTGTATCTTGGACTTGTCCATTTTAGCAAAAAAACTTTTTTTGCTCATCCATATTAATGGAAACTTAGCAAGAAGTGTGTTGGTATATTTATTCAAACTTGAGACCATCTCTGTTAGACTGCATAGGAGAGAGAGGGAGGGGCAGTGTTATTTTTGTTTAGTTTGTTTGTTGGAATCAAATGTTGTTTAAAGATGTTTGGAGATGCTTTCATTCCTTTTGACACGTCAATAACAATTTAAAGCAATATATTGTGAAAAGAGATATGAAATTAAATTTCTGAAACAAAAATATATACCCAATGTGTGAGTATCTTATGTTTGTAATGTCTTTATCATTGTTTGTCATTGATAGGTTACCTGTTGAAGGTAATACAAAGTTTTGGTATGGGGTCATGAATTTGGTTCAAATGAACATATTGGAAGCATATATATGCGATCCTATAATATTCAATGATCCTTGTCGCGGTTGAAATCAAGTCTAAAGTGATGAAATTGTGAATAATAAACTCTTTATGTTGTATAGCTCCTTCTCAAGATCGATATTACTTAAGATCGATATTACTTAAGCTTGATATTACTTAAGCTCCAAAACAATGTTTCGTGACTAAAATCGACCAATTTTCTATTCCTGTTTGGAAATTATATATTAGAAGTTCAGAACTGCATTACTTACCCAGGTTTTCATGGTCGCAGCTACCATTGAATGGCCGTCGGGACCACCAATAAATTCGATATTTTAATTTCTTGAAATCCTATGCCTTATAGAGCCCGATTTGTTCAACGTTGCTTATTATAACACTAGGTTTTACAATGGAAATGCTAATTTTAAATGACATAATCCAATCCTGTTGAAATATTACCCAAACTTTGTATTACCTCTAATTAAGTTATTTTTTTGTTCTTTTTTAAAAATATTTTTATCTAAGGATTTCATCGACATTCTTCTGTTTGAAAGTGCAACTTTCAATTTGATAAGTACTGTTCACTAAAGTATAGTCCATACCAGAGAAATAGCATTACCTAGAGGGGCAAATTAAGGATATCTTTATGACTCAAAATCGAAGTAAACATCATGTTTAGAAGACTTTTAACCATATTTCTTCCCTTTTTCCTTCCCTTTATTTCCCTTTCCTTTCCATTTTATAAGACCCCCCCCCCCCCCCACAGTAGCTTAAACATCATTTCTTGAAGACCTTGAACCTCCTTTCTTCACTTTTCCTTTCTATTTCCATTCCATTCCTTTATTTTCCTTCCCTTTTCTTTTAAAGAGGGGGGGGGCGTTGCCCCCCCCCCCCCCCCATTTATCCGCACTTGCTGTGTTGTATAAAATCGTCATTTAAAAACATACCTAGCACGATGCACGAAAGCACGATGCAGCAATAAGTACTGACGTCCCCCTCCCCCATCTACAAAAAATTGATACAAGGCTTTCGGAATTGTGGTAGGTATATTGGAATCTTTGCCTGTAAAGTTGTGAAAGCTTGCGAAACATGTACATGTATCTATCACTGGAAACGAGGTTGGCCCGGTGGGGCGCGCGCGCGCGACATTTGTAAACACAAACCAGGGACTTGGAAGACACAAACACCTCGAATGGTACTAAAGCTAAAGGTGCCTTCAATTTTGCCTAAATCCATCGCTTGATTCCGGGATATACTCATGCAAGAAGAAGTTTGGTAATGGCATTTAAGCCTTCCCATGTATATGCTTCTTTCATGTCTCCACCTGAAAAAGGGAGGAGTTTGGAAGAAACTGAGGTGAAAACCCGAAATCGAGAGCTGCCGAAAAATGCCGCGAAATCCAAGTGAGTGCCGTCGGTGAGGCCTTCGCCACCCCGAACCGTGGGCGTGTAAGCGTGGTTGTAAGAAGCCAAAAAGAAACCGTTGCAGATTCAAAGAACAGCGTTTCCAGACGACTCGACTATGTTATCCAAACTTTGCATACCCACAACGTCAAGGTAAGAATTTAGCTGTAAATATGACGAGATGTCGAATGTAGTCTGAAAGCTGACATGGCATGGGCACACGCATATTAACATTTTTTCTTTCTTTTCTGTAAACAGCTAGACTCTACTAGTCTAGATCTAGACCAAAAAGGGTGAAGCTTTCGAGTCATATTCATAACTTCTAACTAGATTCTAGATCTAGTCATTGATGATTGACCCGAATTCACAAACGAGGTTTTATTTTAACCTTTTTAATGAGCTAATTTGTATGAAAAACAAAAAAGTAAAGAGCCAAGGCATGAACAGAATGACGAAAGTTTGAAGAAAAAAAATAATGATTAATGCCATGCAAGGCCAAGCATGCAAGCAATAATAAATAATTTTGATAAATTCCAATTATATCAATAATAATTTTCCATATTTAATTAACTTCAAATCAAATCAAGTTAATAATAATGTTATACAGTTTTTGCTAACTTCCAATATTACCGTATCCACATGACTGTATGCATAGTTTGAACAACTCTTTTTTCAATCCTTTTGATAATAATCCGAACAGTATTTGATCTACATGTATATTACTGTTAAGTTTTGGTTACACATTCATTTAAAAATTATGTCGACCTTATCTTTATACTTTGTTTTATGTATCAGCCAATGTGGAGAGCCTCTAGGCAGAATTTTTAAATTCTTTTAGGCGATCCTCAGGCATTGGCTGGTGCTAAATATTATTATGTTTATCTTATATCATTTGTCAACCTTGTGATGTTTTGTATGTTATCATCTTGCCTGGAAATAAAATAAATAAAAATATAAAAAATAAAAAATCTGTACAATTCTCAATTTAGCAATTTGGTCAGATTGTGACATAATGTAGTCATGGACAACTCTCCACTTTACAAAAAAAAGTTTTTCATTTCTGTTTTTCTCCTAATTTAATCTATTAAACTCTAAGGCTCTCCCATGGGGTACTAATACATGATGGATAGGAATTTATATTCTGATTTATAGACACAAGATCAGTCCTCTAAAAGATAATACCCAGGCTTGAGGCAAGTTGATCAAGGCTTGAGTAGACTATATTTTGAAAAAAATGTGTATTGGAACAAATGGGAGAGTGACATGACTGGTTCAGCCAATTTGAAATTCCCTGATGTAAAGTGGTTACAACTTTTAAAAGTTCATAATTTTTTTATTGTTTGTCTGATTTCCTTCAAATATTCGCCAATCTGCTTAACTGTTTTTGCTTTCTTTCAGAGAAATTTGCTGATAAAGTTGGATTTTGATTTAACTTAAAAATCTAGGTTTAAACCTCCGCTGGACTAAACATATATAGTCCATAAACTTGAGTGTTATAGTAGCTGGACTAAAGCTAAATGATATGATTAAAGGGGCAGTCGTGGATAATACTCCTGTTTTTTGTTCTTCTAATGTCTTCCAACCATGTCATTATTCATGTCTATTGTTGTTTCATTATTTCTCCTTTATGACTGCAGGAGGGTGATGTGAGCACGACAAGATCTGTGAGGAGAATTGACGGTCTCTTTCATGTAGAAGCTGAGGTCCTGGTTGTTTTTGTTGACCTCATCAAATGCCAGGAGGTGTGCAACTTTCTTGTAGAGAAACTTGATGACTCTGTGACAGTCTCACTCCCATGCTTCTTTCATGCACCACATAGTGTGGATAATGTGAGGTAAGGTATTACGTCTTGGCTATCACATGTCACAACACCATAAAATTCAAACATTACAGCCAAGGCCCAGGCCCCAAGGTACATTGGGGCCTGGGCCTTGGCTGTAATGACCACCACTATGACCACCGCAGCAAATGGGGTAGGGTTATCCATATTATTAGTGATCTTAGTTTTAATTTGTTTGTCCAGTTTATTAGCAGCAAGTTTTCATGTATATTGGCTTTTACTCAAACAAACTTTGTTAAAAAAGATCTAGATAGTACTTAGAGGCATTTTTGATGTATTAAGCCCTGTATAAACCCAGAATATTGTTATTATCATTATTATTATTTTTGCTGTTGTTGGAAGGGTCAGTTTTGATTGTATTTGCTTTTTGATTATAATCTTGTGTAGGAGGCAAGCCTGTGTGAATGCAGTGAAGAATGCAAGACAGAAAGCCATTGAGGTAACCCGTCTACTCCGTCAATCTCTGGGTCATCCCATTATGATCAAGGAGGAACATTGCCATGAATGGGAGGGACCAGCTGCTGCTCAGGAAACCGGTAATGGTCAAGAAGGACCAATGACCTTTCAACAACGATTGACCTCTGGGACTTTAAATGTGTCAGTCAAGGTGCTGGCTAGTTTTGAACTTGTTCCAAGAGAAAAATCAAAAGGAAATAAAACGTAACGGAGGTCCATGGACATAATAGAACACTATCACAAGCCTGGTTCAGATATAGCATGATAAGCATGGTAGTTTAATGATGAGAAAAGTGTGATACACATTTCTGTAACTTCAGAGAAAACTCAGTGAATACGCATCTGACCTTTGTTGCGTGCAGTTGCTATTCAGTTACATGCAAACCACCATGGTTTACCACTTTGTGTCTGAATAAGTCTTAATCTTGGCTGTCTTGGAGTTTGCCAGGTTCAGTGAATAGTAGGCCTGAAGAAAAAACATCTTGAAATCTACGGTCGGCTTTTTAAAAAAGTTCTTTTTTTTTTACCGTTTTTTATAAAAAATATGTATTAAAAGAGGGAAATTTTTATATTTTGTTTTAAAGGTTTCCGACCGACCGACCCATGTTTTGGCACCTCAAGGGCAATACAACATCTTTCTTTTTTATGCCTTAGAGGTAACCCTCAATGCCACATTGGAGGATGGGTCAATGCTACATGTATGTAGAAAACCTGTTGATTATATAGACTGTTATCTTCTTACAGATTGTTAGTTGATAGAGATCAAACAGTTTTAGCCTCAGTGAAATGCTTTCACACTTTTTATGTGATTCAATGAACACACATACTCCCAAAAGGGCAATCTAGTCTATGTAATAAAATCATTTGTATGAAAGCCCCAAAAATAAGAGATACTGAACAAAGAGTGTTTGAAATAAATCAGACCAATAAAAGAGTAAGGAATGTTTGAAATGTAAGATCAATACACCTATGCAAATCTCAAAATGGCAGTTTGGTCAGTGGATTGTGGCATAGTCACCGACAACCCTCCCATTTTTAATGTTTAAAAATATTATTTTCTGTTTTCCTCCCTAAGAAATATAGGAACTGGCTTTCAGTCAAAATTTCATATAAACAGCTATACTTGATATTGCGAGGGTCCAGGTTATCCCATGAAAACACATGCTTTAGCCTTATACACAGACCAGTGAAAGGTTATTATGGAACATATGTATGCTCCTGCCAGTTGTCGCAGTCAAGTTTCATACATTATCAGAATTCCTTATTTCATCCCAGAATCCTTTACTACACCTAAACCTACCGGTACCCCCCCCCCCCCCCCCCCATTACATTTTCTTCTTTTTGTTGCATTTGATTTTATTGTGATGTCAATCACAATAACAAGAGATATAAGATATTAATGCATTGTAAATAAAGATGAATTGATACACAGCAATCTGTCATTATGTATTGAATTTGTCTGAATCTCACTAGACCTAGTACATGCATGCTGTTTATCATTTTACTTCCCAGTCATAACATGGAAACCCTTTTTCATTCTTTTACGAATTTTCCCTGGCATGAATTGATTAAAGGGAAATCAAATTATCAATTGAATAAATGCTGAAGAAATGAGAGAAAAATGTACATTATCGCTCTCTGTGAAAGGATACATGTAGATGTACATTTCTTCTTGCTATCTCTTCTACATGTATGTATGCAATGCTACTCTTAGTTTGCCTGTCAATAACATAAATACATAAACTGGCTACATTTTACCCTACTTCTCAACCGTTTCTCATTAACCATTTTTAGACGGTTTTTCCACATTTTGTGGTTTTGCTCAGTAACTTTTTTTCACAGCCCCAATAAATATACCAGATGCACAATACAAATGACAAAAAAAAATCTTTATTTTGTTGTTGCTGGCAGAATAAAGGAAGGGAAAAAAATTCTCAAACACAGTGTCCATTCTTGTTGCAACGATAGATGTGTTTGATTCTAGGAATTTCTAAAAGGAAAAGGAGATTTGAAAACCTGTAGTTTTTTTCAACTTTTTGATAAAGTGTTTACCCATGTACAGTATATTGTTTTCAGAGACTTTACAAGTTAACATAATATCCATTATCCAATAAGTGTAGCATTGACAGATAAATATTGTTGCCAATTTGAAGAACAACATGTGATGGATTTCATCCTTAAAATAATCCTGTCCTGAAAAAAGTTCCTTATATTTTATTCCCCCCCCCCCCCCCCCCCCATCTCATGTGTTAATGCACTCAATGCCTTTTACCTCGCTTTTTATTTCATGGGTTGGTTAACCTTTCTTTCCTGTTCTCTTCATCTATTTCTCTGATCCATTCTATCTCTATCACCCTTTCACAATCCTCTTTCTTTCTCTCTCTCTCTCTCTCTCCTTCCCTCCTTTCTCTCTCTCTATTCACTTTTTTCTTTTCTTTCTTTAATACATAAACACTTCGTAACTGGTAGGGAAGTTTATGTTTTTGAGCAAATTATATAATGAACATTTCAGTGTTATCGGCTATTGGCTTAGAAAAAAATAATAAGCCAACTTTGGCATGCAGTTATGACTGTTTGGCCAAGTATTTCACAGTAACTTTAAGATACTGTAGCTCCCTAGTAACCTTACGCCAAATGTGAAGGCCTTGATAGGCAGGCTCTTTTCGCAGTCATTAATGCAACACATTTCTTCTGCATAATTTGGCAATCAGAGTACCTATTTGGACTTAAAAGTTGGCTTACTTGAGTAAAATACTAAGATGTAAGCTGTAGACCAAGCCCTTTTTCTTAACAGCTAAAAGCTAAGTAAAATACTGACATAATTCAATGCAGGCGTTGTCTTGTTTTTAATTCATACGGAGTAGGACTATGGTGTGTCATACTGTTTTACCATGGATTGAAACTGGATGTGAAGACTACACGGTAGTACACGCACACAAGGTTGAAACCCATCCCACGTCACAAATTGGGGCATTATGTGTAATGTGTAAATATACAATCATTTATTCGCTTACATATAACTAGAAATATACACACGATTTCACTGGTGTTCTGAATACATTAATAACTAAAGTACTATTATAGTTATATATCAATAGTACTTGGTTCCTGATAAGATTTCATTACACCAAGATAAAAACTCTGCAATACACAAAGTCAAACTTTGCATCATAGTATTCATTCAAGGAAGAGCACCAATGACTCTTATATTTCCTTTTTTGGGGTAGGGGGTTGATAGTCAATAATATAAGAAAACAAAATTATTGAATGATTCACGTAATTCTGAGTTTGTCTTTCAATAACATAAATACATTCTTATTTACATACAGGTAACGGTTAATATATTCACAATGTGCTTCTACAAAGTGTCATCCATACTTCACCAAATGCAAATAAAATCACTGAAATCTTTTTGTTGGGAAATTCCATGCATTCAGAATTGCAATGACACTGGATCCAATAAATGATATTCATCGTCTTGGTTTCAAATCAATATGACAAACCAATTCAGTTTTGCACAGCAGTGGCAAGTGCATACCATCAAATGTCTCTTGTAAACAGATATTTTGTTCTTGTTTATTCCGCATTATATCCTCCAACACGTCCACTGAACACATACATTTTGATGTTGCATGTACATGTATATATTTAATTTGTAAGAAGGTACCCACATTCAAAGTTTATATATAAATGGAGTTTGTGAATATTTTGAAGAAGGTCGAACATGCACACAAGTTTGGTTATGCCGGTGATATTTATCTTGAGTCAAGTTGATAAGTTCTCCTTTATAGTTTTGTCAATGTTCTCATTCCCACATATATCATTCTGCGTCATCACCTTCCGCTTCCTCAGCCTCGTCCTCATTGGCTGGTTCAGGGGCTGTTTCTGGTCTGCTTTCTCCTTCAACACCAGCTTCCTGCTGTAACAGAGAGGACAGATAATCATCATTTAGCTGATAGTATAGGTGCTGACATATAATCATCATTTAGCTGATAGAACAGGGTATATACAGGAGTTCACTGCTTAGCTAACAGAAAGTATATTGATCTAAAGGAGTATTACCAGAGCTGCCAACCTTGTGCGACCCAAAAAAGGAATCATGATGGCAAAAAAAAGGAATTTCAAGCAAAAAAGGAAATCATAAAAACGAAACTTACAACCACGTGCGAAACACTTCCAATGCAGAAATGTTCATTCATCATGCTGTTTTTTCCATACAAGCAGGTAATTTTTTTTATCGGCATTTCATTCTTTTTGAGAATATTTTTCTCTTCAAGTATGTTTTAAAATTAATTTTCTATTGAATTTGTGATCAAATCACCATTTTAGGGCAGTTGTTTGACATGCGGTATGTAAACAAAAACAAAATTAAAATAAATAAAAAAAATTAAAAATATAAAAATTTTAAAAAGTATTTTATGAAGAAAAAACGTAATACCGTAATTCGGAGGAAAAAAGGAGTAATTCTGGCAAAAACGGAATGGATGGCAGCTCTGAGTATTACATGTATATAAAACTGTCTGAAAGTCTCATACATGTTTTGATTTTATAGGCCTCCTAAACCAATCCTCTGATCATCTGATGAGTACTGATAGCTCATTTCAACCTTTTTATAGTATACAAATATACACTGCCTTGAGAGGTTCTGGTTAAAACTATGCGCAAGAGGTGACTCCAATAGTACTATTTGCTGAGGGGCGCAGTCCCGAAGCAAATGGTACTTTTGGAGTCACCGAGGCCCATAGTTTAAACAGTACCTCGAATAGAAGGCATGTTATATTTGTTTTATATCCTGCATCAAAAATTTATTTTAAAAAAAATATTAAAAAAAAACATTTTTGGGAAAAAATTTTTTTTTTTTTTAAATGTCAATTTTTATCTAAAAAGATTTTAAAATGTTTATTTTCATTAAATTAAGATTTGAAAAGAAAAATTGATTCAATTAAAAAAAAAAATCACATTTTTTTTTCAACTCCCAAATAGTAAACCAAAATAGTACTCTCATATAGATCTAGTACTTTCTAAAAATAGCTCAAATATGTTTGGTCATGTGACGAGCTCTCAACCAATCAAAAGCCAACAAATTTTTGATGCAGGATATAATAGACTATGTGTATTTACATGAAGGTTATAACTTCTGATGAGGGTAGCCGTGAAACTAAGCACCTAAAAATCCTCATTTGTACAAAACCACAGAATTTGTTACCATCAATTGCAGATGGCAAGTACATGATGATGGATAGAGCTTACCTCGTCGCCTGCAGGCTCTTGTCCATCGACACCACTCTGCAATTGCTCTTCTATAATCTGCTGAGCTGCCTCTGCAATCAAGTCAGTATGACTCTGGCCAGATTCTTCTAGTTTGAAGTAAGCAGCCATTCTCTCCTTTACTACATCCCTGATGATACCTGTTCATAATAATACACATTTATAGGTTAATAATAACATTTTAAAAATACATAGCAACTTAATCATATGCAAATTAATTCTATCTCCATGAATATCAAAACATTGTGTCTGCTCCTACATGTTAGATCTGTTCATACACCTATGAAAATCATGTTTGTCAGAGATTCTTATGAAATATTAAGTGATAATTCATTTGAGTAACATTTTCCCTATAAAACTCCTTGTGACAAAGATTACACGCTTGATATCTTTCAGTAAGGAAAGAGTATTGGCAAAGATTAGATAATAAATGATTCTGAATAACTAGTGGATACCAATAAGGAAAGAGAAGATGAAAATACAAAGATTTCAATTGAGACCTGGAGGAACGGATAACAGAGAGAGAGAGAGAGAAGTGTGTGTGTGTGGGGGGGGGGGCAGGATCAGGATTTAGAAGAAGAAAAAAAAACATTAAACAAAACACAGGAAGAAGGGTCAGGCACATGCAAGTAAAGATAAAGTAAAGCAAAGAGAGTAACAACAAATAAGTAGAGGGAGGGAGAGAGAGAGAAAAGTGTGTGTATATTATGGGGGGGGGGGCAGGATCAGGATTTAGAAGGAAAAAAACACAGATAGAAGGGTCAGGGAGTAACAACAAATAAGCAGAGGGGGAGAGAGAGAGAGTGAAAGTAAGTTACTGTTACTTACCATCGAGTACAGTCCTTCCAAGAACAGACTTGTCAATACACTTAGCAACCTCATCCATGATCCATGGCATGAAACCAAGCTCAACATCCCTCTCTACTGGATCATAGAAATAACCATTATCATTGAGAGTACCAAACACAGAGGGTATCAGGTCTGCAAGATAACTCTGGGCAAAAGCTCTAGCTGCAATCTTCTCCGCCGTTTCCTTCTCTTTCTTTAATACCTCACGTTGCTGCTTCATTCTCCTTTCCTAAAAAAAAAAAAAAAAAACATCAATTGTTGAAATATGAATTCATGTTTTGATCATTACAGTTTAGAATCATACAAATAAATCTAATTTGTCCCTGGTATGTCTTTACATATATATTGAATAATTTTGATGGCTATGCATCGATTGTAAAGAAATATGTTTATTGTGGAAGTTCACGTTATCAAGTTCTAGATAGAGTTTAATTTCCACACAATCATTTAAAGATAGTGTACGACTAAATGGGTAGGACCGATGATTAAATTGAAAATATGAATGTCCACGAAGTATAACTAAAATTTGTTTAGTTATATTACACTGTGCATTCAAAAGAGTCCTGAAACCAAGTTCTTTGTATATGATGCATCTCCAAAATAAATGTTTTTTTAAATCTAGACCTGTAATAGAGAGTGCAGCTAGTGTCTTTAATGTTTTGGCATTTTGAACTTTGTTTCAACAGTACAAATTTGGGTATGAAAATTCAATGAATTCTGTGCAAACCAGTAGTCAAAGGCTATGAGATCAAACATGCTGTTCATTATTCTTAAAATCAATTTTTTGTATTTTTATTGGTCATGCCCAGAATGAATTACTTTGCAAAAACCCAGATTAATGAAGTTTTGTTTACCTTCTCCTCCCTATGTCTTCTCTCTTGTTCTTCCAACCTCTGTGTTTCTACAAGCTCTGCATTTCTGAGTTCTTCGAATGCTCGTTGCTGCGCTCTAAGATTGGCTAGTTCTTCTTCTTCCATGACCTCTAGTAGAGCCTGCTCTACCGTCTTCCCTACTATCACCTCAAGGATGGGCTTCACTTCAATGTCAAAGTCAAACAGCTGTAAAACACCAAATTACATACAAATTATATTCATTATTGAAAAAATGTATTTCCATGGGCATAACAAATGCTCTGGAAATTATTTAGCCAAGTCCTAAACATAACTCTGGCACATGTTGTCAACTTGTCAATACACAGGAGCATTTATCTATTTAGCTTTAGAAGCTCCAATAGTGCTCTGGTAAATTGAATGATTTTCTGATATTCAAGCAAGCATAATAATTAATTGAATAAAAACTGTTTGCTCTTATAACATGTTCTGTACCATTTGGTACTCGCATATAATTTACATTTTTACATTACGTATCCAAAAAATGACAAACAGGATGATTGATAGCTCACACTCTATGATAAATCAATGAGTAATGTCTAGTACTTACATCTCCTTCATAGATCTGTGTAGCAATATCCATGCCCGTCTTGGCAGGGACAAAGAGTGGTGTTGGAGGTCTATCAAGGAAGGCATCAGTTTGAGCTTCCACATCTGCTTCCTCTACCCTATCACTCAGCTCCTCTAAATAGAGTTCAGTCTGGACATCAATGTGTTTCCTTCCTTCAACAGGCTCTGGAGACCTTGGTCTAAGCTGGTCCTTAGCTCTCTTGGCTGCAATCTTTCGTCTCCTGATTTCCTGCTGTCTCTGAATCTCAATTGGATCTGGTTGAGCTGTCTGTTAAAACAAATGTAGAAGAAAAAAAATTCATAGAGTATGATACTTCAAATAAAACAATTATGACAATTCTAAAAGCATTAAACTGGACAGGTATTACACTCAAACTGTGTATCCATAGATTCAATCTGGTGAAAGACAAACAAAAAAAGAGAAAAATACCTAACACAATTTAACAATAAGAATAATAACTTTTTTTTTAAACTAGACAGTACATATTTTAAAATAAAGAAAATATACCAAGTTATCAACATTCTCATACAGGAATCATATCTTATTGGGTTACTTGGGTGATGCAATTTTCTAACTAAGACGTTACAACAAATAATATTAAAAAAATCAGCTATAAGTAGAAAATAAAGTCTCACATACCGCTGGTAGTGTGTGCTGTGCATATGTGTTTCCCCTGACAATTCGCCTGTCATACATTATATTGCCAATTGGTACTGCCTCTGGGTTTCTGTGAGAGGAAGAAAACAAAGTAGAATATTTTAATTTCTTTTTTATCAAGACCACACAGTACCAGTCAAGATGAGTATCTTATAGAAAAGGAAAAATTATACAGACGGTTGATTTTAAAGAGTGACTTAAAATTGACATGCCATATTTCATTATCACATATTTTTCAAGATTTATCTTAGACCCATCAATATCTGGATTCTGAATTCCACACTGCCTTCTCCTCATCCTTCTTCCCCTGCTGAGCTGAGAGTTGACTAGTAGTAGTATGGTTTGAGAAAGGATCCTGCAGACTTCTCTCTTGGATTTGCCTAATGGCTGCATGCTTTCATTATAATCAAGTATCGAGGGAAGCCCCCAGTTTCTGTGCTTTCCTTTAGTACTCATCTACTTTTTTACGTTACAGTTAAACCTAGTTAAAACAGTTGTTAACCAGCCAAGATTAGACATCAGATTTGGCTCTGCAGAGTGTGTTGAATCAGACTTCATCATTTCATGTCAACAACACAAAGCTGAAGCCATGAAGGAAACACTTTAACATATTAATAAACAGGACAATAATGTAAAGGACAATTCGATCCAATAGTTTTTTTTATCCAAGATAAAACTCATGGTGCCAGCTTAATGTTGTTATTTAATTTTATTAACTAGACTAGTCTAGGGCCTAGTCTATCTGGATCGACACACACATGTAACAACTAACATTACAACAATCCCCACCAATTAAGCAGTCATCACTCAACAACAACAAGAAACCCAGCCTTCACAATATTCAGTCCACTGATCACCATAACTGAATCTACACAACTTCAACATTAGTTTAAGTTAAATAGGACTTAAAGTTGTCGGTTAAACTTACTGCGCGAGGGGGTCTCTGTATTTTTTCCTCTGTGGCACAGCTCTTGGCTGACTGGCAAAAGTGTACGTGCCACTTTTCTGTTGTGGTGCTGGCAAAATTGTCGTCATTTTGCTTGATTTTGTTCTGTCGATAAAAGCAAAAACAGTTTTCGAACTTCTCTGTAGAACTAGAAGAAATTATTTTTCAGAGGCACACCTCTGTTGTATTATTAAAGTCCTCTCTGTTTATAGTTTTAACAGTAGCATCTGTCAAGTTCCACAGGGCGCGACGCGACGATCGGTGAAGTCTGGCGTTGAATGAATATGAAATTCACGTAATAAATATACACAGCACTATACTCTATGCATTCATTGTTGTGCATAGAGACTATACGTGTGTGTACCTCGCTAGCGAGTTGTTTAGGTTCGCAACAGGAACCGCATCACCGGAGGAATCGCTCAATAGATCAGTTCGCTACTAAAAGGTATGAAATTTATCATACATGATTAAATTATCTCAGTGTGTAAAATGATGAAAATACTAGCAAGTAATTACATTCAGCGAAATTTTAAAAATTACACTCATTTTATGAAACGATATAGAACTATTTTATTAATAGCGCAAGATTTTTATTCGGCGATAGTTCATCGACTGTAATGTAAGGGAAATAAATATTGGTGTCATAGCAACCTCCATTGCATGAGCTGTATAAGTTACATCGCAGCTGGCGCTGTTTGAAAGGTCAAAGGTCGGGCAATGTGACTTAAAACAAGTAATTCAGATTTCAGGCCAAGCGCGAATGATATTTGATTTTAAAATGTCTTTTTCTACTCTTTCGAGGATTTTCAGGTTAACTTCTTATCGAAGAGCGTACTGCCAATACTTGTCTTCGTTATCGAGATCAGATAGATGTCAGTCTACCTGGACTTTCGGAGCTGATTCTTGTTTTGAACAAAATTCACGAACAAATTTTTGCACGGATGGGACAATCACAGGTATTGGGATGAGAAACCCAATTTACAACATTGGACATGTCGGATTTCTAAACCTACCAGTGCCCTCAATGTTAATTCATCAAGTAAGAAATTTCTCTAGCTCACAGTGCAGGTCTAAAAAAGAAGAGTAAGTAACACTAACAGATTTGTCATTTTTATCAATGAATCGCTGACTGACTGGGTCTGAATTAGATCTAGATCTAGACTAGATCTAGATCACAGTGCAGGTCTAAAAAAGAAGAGTAAGTAACACTAACAGATTTGTCATTTTTATCAATGAATCGCTGACTGACTGGGTCTGAATTAGATCTAGACTAGATCTAGATGAATATTATTAGCATGCCTTAGCCTTAGCTAGGCTTGGGATGGCTGATGGCTTGACTTGAACTTGAAGTCGAGCCTTTTTTTTCAGCGATGAATCGGTGATGAAGACATGACATAGGTCTATGATCATGTCTGTCAATGTCATCAGTCATGACCGGGGGGGGGGGGGGGGGGGGGACGAAATGCGAGGAACCAGTGGCAGTGGCGTAACAAGTACGTTAAAACGCTGGGGGGGGGGGGGCAGAAGAAAAAAAAATCTGCACCACCATGTACCACTACTCTTATATAATATGTTACATGCATGCCCCACAGAACTTTTTTTTAAAGTAGGGGAGTATTAATTATCAGGTAGAGTGTAAATTTGTGTGGGGTACAGGGGCAAAGCCCGGTGGGGGTCAAGGAATGATGCCCCCAGCTTGAGCATAATTGGCAACTTAAAAAGCTCAAAAACGGTGGAATCATGTTTTATTACCGTTGGTCTAAACGGTGCACTCCAGAGCCGAAAAGTGTGTTGCAGTCTTTAGTCAGTATTTTGTTATACATTTTTTGTGTGTGCACTTTTTCAAATTTTCCAAGGGGGGAGGGGGGAGAGGGGACGTTCCCCCTTAAGAATTGAGGGGGGGGACAACGTGTCCCCTCTGTCCCCACCAAGATCGCCGGCCCTGGTCATAACTGTCACTACTTAATGACCATAATTATGAGTTACGTCAGTTAACTTTGATGCCACTTAATGTCATACTTAGGTCATCAGGGGAATATTTCTTAAATTTGTTGTTGTTGTAATCAATTATCAACAAGGCAATACAGAATATCTAAAGTTAGCACACACTTAAAAGAAAAGCAGGAATGTGAATTTAATTGAAGGTTTCTCATATTCTTTAATTATAAAACTATAAAATAATTGAAATTGATTAAGATTTAAGGCTTTAAGCCAAAGTCAATTACTACCAAGTGGACAGGAAAAAAAATGTCTAAAACTTCTGGTGTTTCTGTTCTTGCTTAATTTTACAGAATTACAGTGAATTTCCTGAACCGTGATGGGGAGACATTTACTGTTAAAGCCAAAGTTGGAGAGACGCTACTAGACACTGTGATAGACAATGATGTTGATATAGATGGGTTTGGTAAGTATCTATAGATTACAACTACAGGATACACCTTGCTCATTAAATATGATAAGAAATACATCCAAATTGTAGATCTAGATTTTAATCAGTTCACCGACATCCCACAGAAATGTGTGTTGAATTTATCTTAATATTAATGGAATATTAAATTAGTTGAAAATGAAATGTGGGTTTTTTACTCAATCTTTCTTCATTTGTTATGGTGTCATTGGTAGCAAATCTAATTAAACACAACTACAGTGAGAGCTCTGTGAATACAATTAATCTTGATTCATTTGAAAGGGGAAGTCCACCCTGATATTAAGTTGGTTTTGATAGAAGCAGAAAGATGTAACAGATCACTTAAAGGTAAAGATCAGTTTTGGAAACGCCTCCCTCTCAAAAAATGAAATGGAAGCTATTATTACCAATCATGTGAAAGAATATGTTTTGACTAATACGTGATGATACAAATTTTGCCGGGAAACCGCCTGCTAATTGATATATTTGGTAAATTATTATCTATTTGGAACGGATGTTGCATAGTCCCATAATACATCTTTCTGTGTACAATGCTCGTAACTTTACTAAGACTGATTCAAATTTCTTGTCATTTTGATGATTCCAGAACCTTGCAATACACACCAATACTTATATGCTAGATGATCGACTTTTTCTGATCGATTCCACGTTTCTTTCACAATGCAATCGCATGATCAGAACTGGCCTTTATCTTTAAAGTTTGAGCAAAATCGGATAAAAAATAGAAAATTTATGAATTTTTGAAATTGCAATAAATCAAACACAAATTGGCAACTCTATGACATATCTTGCAAGCTCCTCTCCAAACTTGCTCGGTACAGGAAATTTCATACACTCTCATTTTCTAAGTAATTTGTTTCATACAGGGGTTGTATACAAACATTTATAACTCTTACATGTATTTCTTATCTGTTTTTGAGCCCCCTCCAATTCATGTGTACAGAAATCATTTAGTCTCTTGGGCTCTAGCAGAAAATTAAAATCTGCTGGTTTGTATTTGTCTCAACTTGAACAAGGAAAAAAAGCTTACTTGTGACTAGTAGAAACAGGGTGCTCAACAGTTTATCATCATTTTCATTTTCATAGTGAGGTCAATGTTGGATAAATGAGTCTGATAATTCCTTGTTCAGAGTTTGATGATTAGTTATGAGGAAAGTTGGGTAGCCCTAAAAGTTGGTAATCTCAAATTGCCTTAGAGCCTTGTACACCTACAGTGGCTAATAGAATGTATTTTGATTTTGTTATCTAGGAGCTTGTGAAGGTACATTGGCTTGTTCTACATGTCATCTTGTATTTGATGAGGATATATATGAGAGTTTACCAGAGAAACTAGATGAGGAAGAAGACATGTTAGACTTGGCTTATGGACTAGAAGATACGTAAGTATCCAGCTCTCTTACTACTTGTATCTTAGCAAAGATTTATTTCAAGTGACGCTGAAGCTAATTTAAGTTCAATTGGGAGAAAAACTTTACCATAGAATAATTTATAATGATGATATTTAGGATAGTGAAGGAAACTCTCTCATCACACCTCGTTTTCTTTCTCTCTCTCTCTCTGCTACAAGTTCCAAGATAATTCAGAATCCTAAATGCAAGTACAAATCTAAATGTCCAAACACAATTATTAGCATGAGCAATCTGAACGTCAACAAATCTGTAGTTAGAATATATTTCTTATTCCTAAAGACACAAAAAGCCAAACATTACCAGGACAGTTATATTTGTCCCCCTCCCCATTGACATGCCTTGATGAGAATGATATGCACATTTTATTATAGGGTATTTATTCTAAACTACAAAAGTTATTAATAATGATACTCATGTAGTCATGTATGCTGTATTTGGCATTGAGCATAGCATTGTACATGTTACATGTTGTTTTTGCAGATCAAGACTGGGATGTCAAATATGTCTGACCAAGGAGATGGATAATATGATTGCTAGAGTACCAGAGGGCATCAATGATGCTAGGGATGTATGATAGGTACTCAAATAATTCTTCTCAGCTTAGGAATACTTTATGTTGAAGAAATCACCATCAATTCTCTACTTGAGAGTGAGCATATATGTGTCTCATATGACCCCAAATACTTGTATTCATAGATCTTTTCAACATGGAGGGTCACACTTTATGCATTTGAGAACAATCAGTTTTAAAGTGATGGAGGAGCTTCTTAAATAATCTTGTTTCTCCATTTTTAAAGAATACTTCCACTCGTATATCATGACATGTGAATGAGCAGTTGGTGAATAAGAGAATAATGATTAGACAACTCTGTTAAGCATGTATCCAGTATACTGGATTTCATAATTTGGTATTTATAAATGATCTATAGATATATCTGTCCATGCACTGATTGTAAGTATGAGATATTGCTTATTTTGGATAACAATGTATGGATATGGATTTTGTATTTGGAGACTTATACATGTAGTGTAGTTGTACTGTATTATGTATATCAAAAAAATGTTAATTCTGACACAAGAGTAAACAAAACAAAAAAAAGGGAGGGGAAGTGGAATAATTTCCCCTTTTAAAGCTATTGTGCCTTAATGTAATTGATACATCAGTTACACCGCCAAACATACTTCAGATCGGCTCTAAACAGACCTACAGTTCTTGCAATAGAGGGAATGTAATACTTTTGTTTGGTCTGGTGTTGATCTTCTTGTAGGTGTGGTTAGGTATTTATAAAAGCAAACATATTAGAAAACCTACTGTATCATGTGAAAAGAAAAAGTGAATAAAATGTGATTGATAAATGCTATGTGTGTAGAGATTGTTACATGTAATTTAAAAAAAAAGTTAAATTGCAATCATAACTTCATTGTTGTTGCTGTTATTGGAATTATCAACATTATATCATACTACTACATGTATAATGGTTCTAGGACAATCACCCCTGGACGATCAACTCCCGGCCAATTACCAGTGGGACAATTACACCCCCCCCCCCCCCAAGGATAATTACCCCCTGGAAAATTGTGCTGGATTTGTATGTTTTTTCCGACAAAATATTTTGTTTTTATATTATACTTTTTAAAGGTTACCCAAGTGCCTCCGGGGCACCCAATGCTGGAAAGAAACGCACTTTTTAGAAAACTGCACTTTTTCATGAAAAATTGTAATTTGTTCTAGGCACGCAAGTCGGATTGAGCAGATGATACAACGTTTGTTTACAATATACCCCTAACAAGAAAAAAAAAATCTGCTTTTATTAAAACCAACTTATTATCAGGGTGGACTTCCTTTAATGAACAGGGGGGTAATTGCCTCCAGAAAAGAAAAAATGTGTAGATGCCCCCCAAGGGGGCTTGGGGCAGCATCCCCAAAGTGCCCCTATATGGCAATAACTAGACTTTTTTTTAAACAAACTTTTTCTTTAGATTTTGACTTAGGGTTATAGGAAGAATTACTCAGACTGATATTTTTCTAAAGGGCTACTGACTCCTCCAGGGGGAGGGCTAATTCCCCTTGGTTTACATTTTGACTGCTTCTCAAAAGTGCAAGGCCGGATTTTAACCAAACTTGGTAGGGATCATCCATTAGCAAGGGAGATCAAAATGGGGTAGTGGCCTGAGGACAGCCCCTACCCCGAAAGTTTGACATTTTCTTTTTCTTCTTGAAAACCTATTGCTGGATTCTAACCAAAATGTGTAGGAAATAGCTGCAAGAAAGGGAGATCTATTTCTTTCTTCAAAAGAGGAATATGCCCTTAAGGAGGCTTGGAGGCAGGCTTCAATATCTACCATCCAATTTTCCAAACAGCGATGCTAGCACTGGAAACTTCAAAATGCGCGCTCGTGCAAATCTTGAAAACTGTCTAAATTTTTACATTTGTTATTGTTCCATTAGAATCAAGGATATCTCTTCAAAATGCCTGGTTAAGCTCATTTTTTTATTTCATATTCTGATAGATCATTGCGTGTAGATATGATTTCATACTAAAATGTTTTCTCATGAATTTTGGTTGAACATTTTAGGAATCATTTTTATGTGAAGAAGACCTAATTTAGTTTTAATGGGATACCTGCCCTTGCAGGGTACTCGGGAACAGCACCCCTAGATTGCCCTATACTGGTACAATAAATCCTATGTTCCTAGTGCAAAGGGGATGGGAGCTAGGCCCCTTATTGCGAGGCCCTTACTTTCATCGGCTCAGGTGAGCGTAAGGTCCGCGGGCCTTTTTTTTTCTTCTTTCTTTGGGTTTGATAGAGACTGAACAGTAATTGTGCATGTAAAGAATCGATATAAGAAAGAAATACAATGTTCTTCTTTAGGGAACGGATGAATTTACGATTATATATCCTTTTTTATAATTGTATTTGATTTAATATACGTGTATCTATTCAATATTTTGTATCTGTTCTTTTTTAAGAAAACTGAGCATTTTAAGTTTTTAACTATTAATATTTCTAACGTAATCCTCCCCTTATGAACTTTTCTCTCAAATATATTAATCTATACAGTTAAACTTTAGAAGTATGGATAATATCGTCGATAATATCTGAGAGAGAGGGAGAGAGAGAGAGAGAGAGGGAGAGATGTTGAAGTTGCCATGTAGTTGCGTAGTTGATTCGTTCGTCATGATTACTCTTGTTTTTAGCATTTCAACATTCACATTCATTCTATGACTGATTAAATCCCTTTGGTAATAAATGCTTACAACTGTATGCTTCTAGCATAAATTTCACTATTTTCCTGCTTTGTTTTCCTTTAACCTTTTGAACTACATGTATTTTTTTTGTCTACTACATATATACTAACAGATCTTGTCATCAACTTATATTGTTTTTATTTAATAACTTAAAATAATATGTTTTGAACTCTTTGATAAACATTACTCTTTTCACTTTTAGTTCCATATTACCGTAACTCTCATACACGCTGAACGTTGAACGAAGTCAATTTATTTTGTTAGTCTTCAAAATTCTTGAAAATGTAATGTTTTGTGAAAATTTAAAGTTTAAATATACAGGGTGTTTTGATAAAACAAATATAGTAATGAATTAATATACTTCAGATAATGAGGAGGGCTTTGTCCAACGTCTGGATGAACTATAGCCTGATAGATATATAGATAATGATGAAGTAACTCTAGCAATTGTCTTCATTCAAATTTGGATGTGTGTTTTCGGCAGCTATTTAAAGGATGATGTATATATTTGAAATATTAATCAATCAAACTTCAAGTTACTCAAAATATTTGGCATAATAAGAGTTTCCTCACTTTGCAGACCATCTTAGATCGTTTTTTCTCAAGGTTTGATTATACAGATTTAGAATTTTAAACAATTGATAATCATTAAGTACATATACTAATAATCAAAGTCTATTTAGTTAAATTGTTATTAAATTGTCGAAAACGGGAACTCTTTTCACCGTGCCGGAAGGTTTCTTCACCAGCCCATAGCAATCGCTCTATGCATAGTATGAAACAAGTTGACTAGCGACCTCTACGTTCTTATTGAGATTCACAAAGAGAAAAGAACTCTTAAACTCTTAATATTTTGTAGACCCAAGTTCTCTGAAACCATAATTCATTAAAATTACTCAATGATGCTACTTTATCGAACTTGTGTAACCGGAAATTTCTGAGTAAATGTTCATGCCTTCATACGTTGAAAAATATACAGAGTAACCAATGGGACAAAAATCAATGGTAATGGGCCTCCAACTTGCGTTAAAGGCCCACTGCACTACTTGTAGCTACTTGCGCCCTCTATATAACACACAATGCCTAATCGGTGACCATTGGTCCCCCATAATCCTCTTTTTCTTATGTTAACTGAGAGCTGAGTTGATGAGATAACCACCTATCGAGTGACCTTGCAGGGCGGTCTAATCCCTCCTATAAACTACGGCAGATAAGCTTTAAATGTTCCTGGTTTTGCCAATATTGTCACAAAGGTACAGCTAATTGTTCATTATTTTGACCCAATATCAGATTATTTGTATTATAATTACGATTATCAATTCTAGAGCAGTAGAAACAGCTCGTGTCATTAATGTGAACAAAATGAATAGGGGGAAAAAGTGTGTTTATGGCGGGAGCAGAATGTGCATTAACTATTACTTTGCAGTGTACTTCATTATGTTTTGTACATTTTCACGAAGTGACGGTAGTGAGGAAAATCCGCACTCAAATTGTATGTGATTTTTATTCACTACCGTCACTTCGTGAAAATAGGGACGAGATTATAAGAGAGATTAAAAGAGAGAAAGTGTCTAAGTTGCCTGAATCTAATTGTAAACATAACTTTAATATTAAAAAAAATATGTACTGGAGAAATATAACTACAATGAAATATATCTGCTTTGGTACATGTTCAAATCATGTATGAAATCTATATCAAGTTCATTATATTAACGGGTAATACATTATACTAATTTTAAATTAATCCTCCTTCAACTGATAAATCGATCTCCTCGAATTAAAATCGGCTTTCTATAAACGTCGCTCGTGACGGTCGTTTGCAGCATGACAATGAAATCAAGCAGATCTTACTGTCAGCTTGGTCAATGAACCTTGTTATATCTTCTCCACATTCTTTAATCATGATATGGACCCCATTGCACAAAACTTACCATTGACGGTAACTTTGCCATCAATGGTAACTACCATGGAAACCTTGATTTTGATTGGCTGTTGAGCCCTGTTACCATGGTAGTTGTCATTGATGGCAAAGTTATCATCAATGGTAAGTTTTATGCAACGGGCCCCAGATGCTCAAAATTTGATCAAGTAAAGTATGGTATTTTCTGGAAAAAAGAAAGTATTTTCAACCTGATGCTAAAACGTAGGCTCTCAGTCAGTTAGAAGATAACATATGACATAACCAAATGCAAGATATGAATTTTCTGCCCCCTTTAACAGTATCTGTTTTTTGATGAACCAAACGTGAGCTCCATGATTTTTCTAAAATCATATATTTTTGTTCGCTCACTTCGCTTGTTCATCTTTCTCTAAAACAAAATTGCACAATATTATGAAGAAGAAAACAAAAATAACAGATATCATTGAGATCTTTCAATGGAATAAAAGGGTATATGCCAACCGATATTTGTTGCTAGTAATTTTGAGTCCATAGTTTGAGGTAGTCTATTTTTTCGAAACTGTGCACTGTTTCCATAGTACCCCTCCATCGTCAAAAACGCTCGAACCTTCCCTGCTCCTAACCCGGATCTTTTAAGGCGAGTGGATAATGGATTTAATTAAAGAAAAATGAAATCGGTCATAAAATATGTTTAAAACATGCTTAGCATGAAATTTTCATTAATCATATTGGTCAAGGGATAAATATACAAATGCCGACCTAAATATATTTTAAGAAAGAACAATTTTGTTTGGATCAAGAGGGGAAATTCATATACACTGGAGGGGCACTTTTTTCACAGTCATTTTGGAACGGATACTACCCCATCAACGTTGACTTGTGGTCTACACAAAGCGTGATCAAATGTTACGATAATAAACATGAAGAGAGACATCTGAGGATTTACGATGGTTAGGTTATATCATGTATTCGCCATTAAAGACGCTCATTTTTAGTTGATACTTTATAAATGTGCGGATAATGTTTCTCACCCTTGTCTTTCGCGATGAAATATTGGTCATAAATAACATGACTAGGTCTAACCTGAAAGCTTTTGCTTGCGGCAAGTGCTAGCTCTCCCATGCTCTTAGATTAGTATTAATGTTAGGATTATACGATGATTTTTCTTGACATTTTTTTCGTTTCATATTTACAACACTTCTTTTTTACTTAACACAATGTTCAAAGTAAACAAAATCGTAGTTAAGCAAAAACATTTGCTTTAAAATTCCATTAAATTAATTAAAGTAAAACAATGAGATATTAATATTCAGCGCTTTGTTATAGCATCGAAATCAAACAATTTATTTTCAGCCCAAATGATACAAACTCTGAATAAAATGTTACACCATCATTATTCATTAGGACTAATTCATAGACCTGGGCCCCGTCTTACAAAGACTTACGATTGATCCAAATCAATCGCAAGTCCTCCAATCAATCGCAAGTTTGCAGTCTCCTATCTCTTATGTACATCGTTGCGATTGATATCATTCGCAAATAAGTTGCGATTGATATCAACTCTTTGTAAGACGGGGCCCTGATCATAATATTTGACACTGATTTCAATCTCGACGAAGCATCAATGATATGCATTATTATTATTTGCACATACTTCAGGGGTGATAGTGAGCACTAAAAAAAAGATAGGTTTTTTGTTTTCCCCTCAACCACACCCCCCCCCCCCCTTGAGTAAAAAAAAAAGAAGAGGATTCGCGGGTAAAAAATGGTATTTAACAACATTCCCCCCTTTCGAGTAAGAAAATTGGGAAAAAATAGGGGGTAAATAGGGCAAAATAGGGAAGAATAGAGAAAATAAGGGAGAAATCGGGAAAATCAGGTTAAAATAGGGAAGAAAACAAAAATCTGGTAAAAAAAAAAAAAAATCTGGATTTTTTTTTTTTTTTTTAATCGGGAAGAGAAAAAAAAATCGGGAAAAAAAAAAAAAAAAAATCGGGAAACCGATTTAAATCGGGTTTTTATCAGGCCTGATACTTATGCACAACTGAAAACAATTTACGTCACTTTCTATGCAATCACCCATGATTTTCAATCCACATAGGACTTCATAAACCATGAGACATCGGACTATCTTCATAAACGTTCGTCAGAAAGTCGTCAGAAAGTGGGAACAAACTAAAATCTAGCCACGACCGGCAAGACATGACGACTATTTAGGCGACTGTATAGATATTAACTCACGACCAAACTGCGACACATCGGCGACAGCTTATATTCATATTCATATTTATTTCATTTCCAACAGAAAGGTAAACAAAGATATTACATTTGATTTCATACATAATTCATTTTTCAGGAAACTATACAAATACACTTTGCACATAATAAAATGATTACAAGAATTTCTTAATTGCGTGTAATGAGTAAAACAAGGCACAATTTATGTCAAGCATACTGGCAGTGAAGGCTTTACATTATTGATAACAGTAAGATTGGCAAAACAGATAATTTCCAAATATCTCTAGAACTTAATTGGCATTTGGACTTCTACCACGATCATCGATCATATATACATGCATTTAAATTTCTACAAAACTTTATGTCACATATTTGTATTCTACCATCAACCCAACATATTTTCATCCGGGTTTTATTTTGTCAGAGATGTCAGGTTATATTTTGGGTTGCCATGACTTTCCGTCACATACATTACAAGTACATGTCCAAGATACGGAAAGGCATTGTGTCACTAATCATACTTGGTATCCTACCAAGCCTTTTGATCTTATACTTGGTATTCCAATGCAACGTATAGGCATTATGTATCTGGACATCTATCCAACCAATGTCTTGATTCGTCAAATGCGTGTTCTTACCCGCGAATCCTTAGGCTTTAATTCGTTATCGAAAGATGACGTTTACGTGAAAGAGAGACGTGATATACTATCTAGATTGAACTTACTTCATCATCGGTTTCAGAAACATAAACATTTCGTATGTTCCAAACTATATTCTTAAGTTTCTTGATCCCCTAAACTTGAGCTAGTATAAATTGACGTAAAATCGATGTTAGCATTAAAGTATCCTCAAAATGATTTTAAATTGTTAATGATACTATCATGATACATGAT